GATCCCAGAACTCAGGGTCTATACCTACATCTGCTAACTCCCCACTTTTCAGTCCCACTATGCCTGGATCCTGCAGGCTCTGACCTCTGGGAATGCAAGTTTCCCGAGAATGCCTCGATAGGCCCAAACACACCTCTTCTAGCCGTGTGCGCTTCTCAGAAGGCTCTGACCCATCGCTGTCATTTCCCGAATGGTCTTCATCCTCTTCTTCATCCCTAAAGATGTCATCATAGGCAGGAACTTCAAGGTCATCATCTTGTTTAATGAGTAATTTGATCTGAGTTTAGGACAAAAAGCAATCAAGTCTCTCAACAGAAAACTATGAATCATGATGTGTTTTTCTCCTATAGAATCTTATCATTTCCTAATTAGCAGACTCATAAGTTTCCTACACAGACAAATAGCCACCTGTCTGAGTTCCAGATTTCTCATACATTTTCTTGTTTTTCGTTGCCTCTCTATGAGGCAATAGAGGTGCCACATGGTATGCAGAAATTCTGAAAATCTGAAAGCAATTTTTGCTTGAGCCACTCTACCAGCCCTTGAAAGCAATTTTTGAAAACCACCTATAGGCTACTGCAACTTTGGAAAAAGAGTTTCCTCTTATGCTACATATCGACAAAACGAATGTCCCACAACTCGGCTTCTGACAGAAGATGTGAAAATGCTGCTGTGGTTTGTCTCCCAAAGGTTCATATGCTAACAGCTTGCTCCCCTTTATGGTGGTGTTGAGGTGGTAGACCCATTAAGAGGTGGGGCTTAGTGGAAGGTGACTCATTCATTAGGAGCTCCACCTTGCCAGTGAATAATACTTACTTCTATCAGAAGTAAGTCAGGTTTCCTAGGGCTGGATTAGTTCCTGTGAGCTTGGGCTGTTACAAAGCTTCCTTAGCTTGCTATCTTGCTTTCTGTCTCGTCATGGGATCTGTCTCTTCCTCTGCTCTCACACGTACTCCTGCCGTTGTGAGTATGTGTAATCACACATACCGACTCTGAGGACCTTACTAGAGTCAAGATGTTACCACCATGCTCTTGAATTTTCAAAACAGTGACTCAAACAAAACTCTTTTCTTTATAAGGTACCCAGTCTCACATATTTTCTTTCTTTTTTTTGTTTTTTTTCCAGTGCTGGGGTTTGAACGTGGGGCCTACACTTTGGGCCATCAGCCCTATTTTTGTGATGGCTTTTTTCAAGATAGGGTCTAGTGAACTATTTGCCAGGGCTGGCTTTGAACCATGATCCTCTTGATCTCTGCCTCTTGAATAGCTAGGATTATAGGTGTGAGCCATCGGTGCCCAGCTTCACTTATTTTCTTATAGCAACACAAAACAGACTCAGACAGATGTGAACCCCTAAAATGAATACAATTCCTGGCTTTAAAAAAAGCATTTGCAGGCTGATTGCTGTTGGAGAGATTCCTCCAATGAGAATTTCAGGGCCTGACATCTTGAGGATAAGAGATCAAATCAAAGAATGCTTAGGTGACTGCTCTGAGCCAGTATACATGCTTAATGCTCAGGGGTTCAAGTACAGTTACAGCCACTTTTGGCTATAAAGTTCTGATCCCTATACTTTCAGGGCTAAGCAAATTCCACAAATGCATTCTGCCCATGTCCAAGGGATAGATGCCACACTTCTCATCAAAGATGGACAAGAACAGGCTCTTTACTGAGGCTACTCCCAATGCCACAAGGGAGTTGGACACACCTTGCCAAGATCAGGTATAATGTTGTGACATAAAAAAGGTGCAGACAAGGCCAGCAAGAGTGGCTCAAATGCTAGAGTGGCTGCCTAGTTAGCCTGAGGCCCTAAGTTTGAACCCCAATACTGCCAAGGGGGATGAGGGGGAAGAGGTGCAGACAATTTGAGAGCAAAGCACATAGGAGGGGAGGCCCAAAAGGCCTGGGTACCTGTGTGTCATTGTACACATTTACGACGTTGACTGGCCTGTGGGTATCACATACAAAGAATACAGTATCTTCATCAGGTTGAAGGATATCCAATAGGTCTACATTAGCTCCACAGTTTATGAGAACAAAATAACGGAACTGAAAAAAGAGGAGACACACAGTAATGTAACTGCATCAAGTAAGTCCCTTCCTTTTTACCCCCTAGGACGCTGAGCCCTTCTGCTGAGACATATTGAGCCCTTGACATATAGCAAGTTCCAGAAGGAACGGCCCAGGGCTTGAAAACTGGCCATGGCTGGCTTGTGCTAAGTGCTTTATACGCTACAGGTGATTTCTTTTCCAAGATGGCACTGTGAGGTAGGCTCTGAGGCTCTTCTCGCTTTCCAAGGAGCACACTGGGGCTGAGCAAATCGAGTCTCCTGCACAGGTCAAGGAGCTAAGGAGGAGCAGACTGAGACATCAAACAAATAACAGGGTCTCGCCACATCTTGGTGCTCTGTACTGTGCTGCCTCACCACGCTAACAGTGTTGGAAAAGTTTAGCTTTTTAGCAAATCTTGGGCAGTCCACATTTTATGATCATGTAAATATTAAGTCCTTTATCTCACTCTGTCACTATGGCAAAACCTTTCCTTAATATCCAACTGGCACAGGTCCCTCAGGTTATGTCCAAAACTCCAAGGGAGGATTTATCTCTGCCAAAACCATCCTAGAAGTGGTCAAGGCACTCCAAAGACCCTCTTCCATGCTCCAGCTCCATGCCTGAGGGACCCACAATGTCCCATTGCTCATTTGGCTCCATGCAGAGGTGGGAGGTGTGGTGACCTCTACTTTTTAAATTCAAATGGGAAAATATGTGTTCATAAATTTCAAGCCTGAAGGATCTTACAGAATTCATCTTCTTGGGGAGAAAACAGAAAATAGTGGTATATTCTATAATTGTATTAATAAGGCTCTATTAAAGGAACTTACAATCAAATTTCTGCAAAATATGTTCAAACAGGTGCTGTCAACATTCAGTGATTGTTTTTAAGGTATCAAAAGGCCACTTCACTGAAGCCAGCTATAGAGCCCAGGCTGCCCTCAAACTTGAGATCCTCCTGTCCCAGCTTCCTGAGTACTGGGATTACAGGTGTGCACCACAATACCTGGCTGCATTATTTTTTTTAAGTGATTCTGCCTCTACAACTTGAAGCTAAGTCACCAATATACATAGCATGTTTTTCTGTTTCATGTTGCCTGACAAGGTTGACACTTAAATATGCACCCAACTTATTTTGGAACTAGGAAGAATGGTAAGTGTTAAGAAACTTTGATTGTGTAAACAGCCCAATTAGTCTAAAACGCATCTTTCAAACCTGTTCTTTATGCTCAAGAAAAGCAGTTTCAAGTTCTTGCCACCCAGAAACTGGAACTAGCGTGTACTGCACGTGGTCACACTGAAACAGGGCCTGGAGAGAGAGGATTTTCGAAGCCTTATTTAGCATTTTTCAAATTACCTTGAAATACACCAGGAAAAAAAGCTAGCTGGGTGGAGACAAAAGACTGGGCTACGAGAAGGTTAGTAATACATTCACGGGAGAAGCTAAGTGGTAGAGATGAGTTTTCAAGGTATGACGTTATCAATTTTGCAGAATTTGTAAAAATTGCCAAAGTAAAACTGGGAGAAAAACTGATCTAACTTCCAGGCATTATGAAAAGTTCCTGATCCCAGTTCATTAAAAAACTGCACTATAATCAAAATCAAACTAATGGTCTCCCCCAGTAGACTAGGGGTTCCTGTACTTCCAGCACTGACGATGACACCACTCTCTCGGTTGTCACAGATCCTCCCTCTCCCCAAACCCCATGTCCCCCACCAAGGGAAACCACCTTCCCACTAATCACTCTCCTCGCCCTTTACCCGATCCTTTCTGAACCCCAACACCGTGCAGACAGGTGACCCGCGAGTGTCCCCGCCCCCGCCCCCTCCCGGCCACCTCCGCCTCCACCTCCTGCGGGTTCCGCGCCGGCCCGCCCTCCCAGGGTCCGCAGTCACCTGAAGGATCTTGCAAGCGCACAGAGCGTCCACGTCCGAGGCCACGAAGAGCAGGACCCTCTGCGGGGGAAAGCGCGGGCGGACTGAGCCCGGGGGCTCCCGCCCTCCCAACCCACCCACCGCCGCTCGCCCAAATTCCTCCCCTCAGATCAGGATGCGACCAGAGTCCCGCACTGGGCGTCACCTGGCTCTGGACCAGCTCGTAGAACTCCCTGCGGAAATCCGACACGAACATAGCCACGGCGGTCGGACACCTAGCGCGAGCGCTGAGACACCAATCGCCCCCGCGGCGGTCAAGACTCCCGCCAAATCACGGCCCTTCCGATTGGTTCTGACCTCCAACCAATAGATCGCTGTCTTTCCTCTTTTCTGATTGGGTCATATTGGGGGCGGAGCAATAGCGCTCCGCCCTTCCCGACTGGAAAAGTCCAATCAAAAAGAAGCATCATCTTTGCAGCAGGACGCAAACACAGTGGCACCCTTCAACTTTGACTCCCATTTACCCAGAATCCCTCACTCTCGGTGGACATTTTTACCTTGGGAAGAGACGCCTACCTACACCGGGGCCCCAGGCAAAAAAACTTCAAAGCATAAATTTAATTCAGTTACACATCGATTAGAAGGGCTGGGGGCGTGGCTAAAAAGTAGGGCGTCTACCTAGCGCGCACAACGATTGAATATGGCAGTCACGTTTTCAATAGGCAATTGGTCGGGTTGGAAGGCGGATTATGCAGTTTACTTCCGCCCGAGTTTAAGATGGCTGAAGCACAGGCCGGAAGTTCTAAGAATGCATTCTGGATATCGTAGTCAGTAAGGAGAATAGACCTAACCAAATGTGTTTGGAGGGGAGTCCAATCAAAACATAATTTAAAACGATTTAAAAATTATCTCCAAACGGAAAATAAATTACGAAATCATATTTAATATGTCTTTAATAAAATTTAGATCCCAGAGGCTTTATATGGCTTTTTTTTTACCTTTTGCAGCTGATTCTCGGACTCTACATCCCCCCCCCCGCCGCATGTGAGATCCGACACTTCCGGTGAGCCTGACGGAGGGATTCTGGGTTTCAGTGCGGCGGCCTCCGTGAAGACAAGTAGCCGAGGGCTTCAAACGTAACGTTCTTGAGAGAAGCGGCGTCTAAAAAGCGGTGTCCATCATGGTAAGCTGGGTCAGGGTCGGGAGCTGGGGCTGAAGGCAGGGCTCAAGCTGAAGCCCGGCGGGGCGGGACCGGAGCGGACGGCGGCGGAGATGCCGAGTCACCCGGGCCTGAGTCCGTCCCGTCTGCCCATCCGGGGCGAGTCGGACCTTGGACTGTGCCGTGCGTGCCTCTGTGCGGGTCCGCTTGGCACGGGCACGGTTCGCATTCCTCCCAGCTGCACTTGAGCCCATTGAGGGTAAAAAGGAACGTCTACTTTTGTGCCCATGGGTCTCCCAAGTGCTCGATACGCAACAGGTCTCCATAAACTTGGAGTTAATTTGGAAAGTTCTTGGGGATGGGGAGTAGAATCAGGCGCCCTCCATGGGGGATCCCGGGGGACAGTGCCCTAGGCGGGGATGCCTGGCTGTTTGCCCAAGTTCCGTGAGCTCTGTGCAAATGGGCTCACGCCTTCCGATCTATGCAGTGATGCTGTGTTGGTTACACAGTTTTTCTTTAACGGCTACAGTCCCTAACACACCCATCCCCTTCGATTCCTACAAAGGTGGTAATTATCATTTTAACCGTGAGGGAACTAAGGTTTAGAAAGAGGACACAAAAGTGAGGCGTGGAGATTTGAAGCCAAGTCCACGTGGCTGCAAAGCTGTCGTATTACCACTGTAAATAGCACTGCTTCTGCGTTAAAAACAAGGGATGGGCCGGGCGCCGGTGACTCACGCCTGGAATCCTAGCTAGTTAGGAGGCAGAGATCAGGAGGATCGTGGCTCAGAGCCACCCCGGGCAAAGAAATCTCCAGACCCTATCTCGAAAAAACTCATCACAACAAGGGGGTGGGGCCTAGTGGAGTGGCTCAAGGTGTAGGCCTTGAGTTCAAACCCCAGTACCACAAAAAAAAAAAAAAAAAAAAAACAAGGAATGGTTATTAGATTTTATCCCAGTGTGTCACTGTCGAATCATATTTCTGTTTCCAAGTTCATCCATGAAACAGACACCCAATACCTGATCTATGCCATGCGATGTGCTGGGCATGGAGATTAATAAAGGGAAAAGACACGGGGGGGGGGGCAGAAGTTCATGTTCATGGGTGAGTGAATTAGAGGCAGGTTTTAAGGGCTTTGCATACTTTGTGCTCAGATGAGGTGGCATAGTGGGGAGGAGTTTGAGGATGCCCCCACTCCTGGCTTCCATCATAAAGGGTTTCCTTCCTGTGCGTCTAACCAAAACTAAGTTAAACAGAATTCTAGTGCTTAAAAGAAGAAAGAGACGAAAGATTGAAAACTACTGGGCTAGAGTTCTGTAGACTAAAGAACCATCTAATAGTTTAAGCAGGATTGTGCTATATCTGCATTTTAGGAAGATAGTTGATTTAGTTTGCTACTTTTGGAATTCCTAGTAAACTACCAGTAGGTGGCTTTCCTACTACTTAATGCATTTTTGGAATCAAGTCAAGTAATATTTGCTATAATACCTTACTGTGGTGAAGAACATCCAAATTTTACCATCTTAACCATTTTTAAGTGGACAGTTCAGTAGTGTTAACCGTATTCACATTGTTTTATAATAGATGTCCAAAATATTTTTTATCCCGAAAAAGAAAAAAAAAAGTGAAATGCTATTACCACTAAATGATAATTCTCCATTTCCCCTTCCCCACTGTCCCTTTGGTAAACACCATTCCACTTTATGAATTTGATTACTACAGGTACCTCATTTAAGTGAAATCATATTGTTAAGTCCTTTTGTAACTGGCTTATTTCTCTTAGCATAATGTTCTCAAGGTTCATCCATGTTGTAGCATATGACAGGATTTCCTATTAAGGCTGAACAATGTAATATGCATTATATACATTATATGTATATGCCACATTTTGTTCAGTCATCTGTCAACGGACATTGGGTTGCTTCCCTTATGGCTATTTTAATAATTCTGCTGGGAGCCCAGGATCTTTTCAAGATCCTGCTTTCAGTATTTTTGCATATATACCCCTTATGAAACTTAATATTCTCTTTTTAAACATCCTAGTGATTGCAATATTTTGAGAAGTCCTCAAATTATCTCTAACATGTTGCTAAAGCCTCATCTAGCATAAGAGCTGGGATCTTACTTTTTTATTGACACCATGTCTTGACTTTGCCTATGATGTGAGAAAGAACCATGGTGTAGTGAAATATGCATGCCTACTCTGTGCTGTGAGAGTCCCCACCCATGGTGGAGCAAGGGACAGGATGGTAACTAGAAGCCAGGAGAGGGAGTACACACACCTGGGCACCTACTCCTCCTGCTGCCTAGAATGCCTCATCTGGTTTCCTACCTGGTTTTCTCATGCAGAGAGTCCCTTCCTGAAGACTTGTTTAAAATATATTGCCAGGAGCGTTCTGTCCCCTTGTCCCTCTTGTCTGTAAAACTACTGGATACACAGGTGTTTTCTTTTGAATATCTCTCTTGTCTTAAAAATCAGATCCACCAGCGCAGCAGGTTTCATTAGTAAACAAACACCACAAAAGTGATGTTACCTAGTTGAGATCAGATCCTGGATGGTACTGAATAGCAGAAATTTTTATTATCAATTAACAAGTATCTTTGAATTCAGAGTAGCAGGAATTGGGTTCCAGGTAAAGGAACTAGTGTAGGCGTGAAATAGCAGGTTAGGAGACTGGGGCTATCAGTAGCAAGTCTCTGAGGTGTATGGAAAGTCCATCCTTGATCCTGAGGATGGGGGCACCCTTGTAAAACATTAGGGCGGGTTTGAGGTGGCCAGTTTTATATTTTAGTAAGATCATGCTGTGTAAAATGGTGGAGACTAGATCTCAGGGGTGAACCTGTGTGAGACATAGGATTTGAGGTTCACCGTGCTGACCAGGAAGTCAAAACCTTCTGGCTGATGGAGATTCCAGCGTACTGTGTTCTTCAAGCGCTTTTAGCAGCATTAATGAGCCTGACCTGTTTTGTCTCTGGCATGAAGAAATGTGCCCTTGAGCCCAAGAATTTGAGATCATCCTGGGCAGCACAGCAAGAGTCTTGTCTCCAAAAGAGAAAAAAAGTGCCTTTGTTCTAATATCGGCCTCTCTTTCCTTCTAGTTCTCCTTCAACATGTTTGACCACCCAGTCCCCCGGGTCTTCCAGAACCGGTTCTCCACGCAGTACCGCTGCTTCTCTGTGTCCATGCTCGCAGGGCCTAATGACAGGTCAGATGTGGAGAAAGGAGGGAAGAGTATGTGCTTGTTTCTACTTTGAACAGCAGCCTTTCCGCCGAGCCCGCGAAGCCTGTAGCCTCCCAGCCCTTACTGAAGCCAGCACTGCACTAAAACCCACCCGTCCCACACTTGCCAAGCGCGTAGTGCTGGGAGCGGGATTGGGATTGAGTTTACGACTGGGAGCCATCCAGTCCCAAATGCATTACATCAAATAAGAGTCTTTATGAAGTCTGGCCACCCTGAAAATACTGCTTAAACCTTTTTAAAAATAGCAGACAGTACAGCTTGCCTTTGGTCACTGTTTTCTGTTTTTATTTTCTTAATATTTCTTAAATATTCTTTCCACAGTAATTATGCCGCCCTCAGCCCTTGATCAACTCAGTAAGTACAATTTGACACCTTAAGGAATATGAGTGTGGACACTAAGAATTATCATAAGCTCTTTCTTACGCTGGACATACGTGTGTCCAGGCACAGCTGACTTTTGGTAACATTTGGTTAGGAATTGTCTCTGGAAGGTGCATGCCTGAAAACCAGGACCACAAATGCCCAGAGCAAGGTGATGTGTGCTGGTGGCCCTCTGTACAGGCCAGAGCTCATGAACATTTGGTTTTCCCATTTCCCCCTGTAAAAGGAGTACCCCTCCCTGTCCTTCCACCTCAGCTCATCTCAGGAATCTGTCAGGATTAAATAAAGGTACAAAGATGAAGTGCTTCGCACAGTGCCATTGGATGGGCTTACTAGATTGTCTCCTGTAGGAAGAAATGGTTCGTCACAGGAGGACGATGTGAGGCAGGTTCCCCATCTCCCCTCCAATCTCTTTCTTGAGCCCTAGGTCCCTGCATTTTTCTCTCCAAGTGTGCTGTTGCCTCCTAAGCATGTCAAAGATTGAACTATCATCTTCTCTCCTCTTGTTGGGGTGGATAAGGCCACTGTAAGAGCGCCTTGCTCTTCCTTTTTCTGCCAACCCCTTATCTCAAGACCGCAACCTAAAGATCTCATGACCCAGACACTGAAAACTCTGATCATGGGGAGTCTTTCCTTTTAAGATTTGGGAGTATTTCCACTTTGAGTTCCTCTTTTGGAGGAGGAGCCTGGAGACTGGTCATGGGGACATGGTAGTAGCTTGCAGAAAACAGGTGTCAGCTCTGGTGTTGCTGTATTCTGGCTCTATACCTTTCCTGACTTGATGCTAGACTAGTGGTTTACCTTCTCTGGAGCTCAGTGTCATCTTCCTTATCCAGGGACAGTCCACAGCTCCTGCATTGGAATTTCCACAGTGTGTGTGTGAACAACTGAAGTCTGACTGATTTCAGCCAGTAGGAGGAGGCTCTAGCTGAAGCCATACCCAATGGAGGCCTCTACTCACCCAGCGGGTGATTTGATTACTGACACAAGTAATGTTCACAGACCTATCACTACAGAGGGAATAGGCCCCCAAAGAGGCCTTGCTTTGGGGGTGAACTGACTCAGGAGCCAGGCACCAAGTGTGACCCTGAGTACAGTTGTGCAAGAAGATATTCAGGGATTTGGGTCGATGGGATTTAGGTCAGATCAGTGTTGTTCAGACTTTACTTTTTGTTTTGAAACAGCCTCTCAGTGTGTAGCCCAGGCTGGTCTTGAACTCAGGATCCTCTGGCCTCTCTAGAGTGCTGGAATCACAGGCATGCACCACCACAACCAGCTTTTCAGACCTCTTAGGTAGGGGAGGAAACTCAGTTATGTCCAGCTAAATTGTGTAGGATGGCCAGGTGTGATGGTACATACCTGTGGTCTCATCTACTGGTTCAAGGCCAGCCTTAGCAAAATTAGTGCAAGAACTTTTCTGAAAAGCAAATTAAAAGCCAAAGGACGTGACTCAAGAGATAGAGTGCATGAAGCCCTGAGTCCAATTCCCAATGCCGTAAAAAAAAGAAAGAAAAGAAAAATTGTAGCGGGAGTCCTAATTTTCAAAATACAGGGTCACTGCTGCAATTGAAGAAGGTGAGGGGCACAGAGAACTTGGGGGCCCCAAGGTGCTCCTCTAAATGACAAATTACAGTCTGTGAGTCAGTGGACCGAGGAACATTGGAGTCATTCCCAGCTGTAGCTGTCTTGGATCCATGGCCGGAGCCTGGTCCAGATCATCCCAGACCAGCTGTGGGTTAACTTCTGGCTTCCATGTCTCGAGGTGCTTTGGAGACAGCAGGCTTGGCCTCTGGGATGCCACCCAGTCACCCTTGTGATAGTAGGGACACCCCTTCCCTGTCCCCTATACCTCTGTGGTAAGATGCTGAATTCCTGCCCAAACCTCTTCACTTGATTGGCTTTATTAGACTTTTTAGGGAGAGCCCAGAGGCCTGTTTTACCTCCTAGTGCTAAATGAATTTCTGTTAATATGTTTGCCTGATCTGATGGGCTCTTGCTATCCCAAGAGCTGAGTCCCCAGATTTCAGCCAGCAGCCTAGGTTTGGACCCAGCATGACCACTCCTGAGCTGTGTGATCCAGGGCATGTTATATCACCCATGTGCCTCAGTTTCCTCATGTGGATTTCTTCACCTGTTCTGGGAAGATTGGCAAACACCGTCAGTACCTTCTTAGCCCTCTTCTCAGGACCTTGAACTCCTGGTCTTCCCTATCATGTGGCCAGCCCCTCCTTTCTGTGCCCCCTGTGTCTCCGGAGTCATTGGGCCAGCAGTCCTGTTTGCTGGTTGCTGGCCTGGAGAGCTGGGTCTACAGGAGCCTGTCCACCAGCCCTTCTCCTTCCACCCTCCCTCTCTGCAGCATCCGGTTATTCACGTTTGTTTGCTTTCTCACCTTTCTAAATGGAAAACTTTGAAGGTAAGGATTTTTGTCACATGGTTGGCACTTAAATTATTGATGAATAAATGGATGAACTTGTCACTTTTTAAAATTGTGATTTCCGAAAATTACAAATCTCTGCTGGTGCCACATGACTAAGTCACCAGACATTCCCAAGCTCCTCCTCTGGGCCACATGCTGTACTCAAGCAGTAGGAGGCTAGTGGGGTCCAGGCACTCAGGTCCAGGGGACAGGGCCACAATGAGTGACAGAGAGGCTTCTTCTAGGGGAAGACGTTGAGTGACTAGTTCTCTCCCTTTATAGGATCTGTACCTTGTGGTACTTACCGATTCCTGCCTCATGGCCTGTTTCTTCTTCTTAGGCCGACTTAACATTACCTATCCCATGCTGTTCAAGCTGACCAATAAGAATTCGGACCGCATGACGCACTGTGGTGTGCTGGAGTTTGTGGCTGATGAAGGCATCTGCTACCTCCCCCACTGGGTAAGTGGGACCAGCAGGGTCTCTGGTGAGGCCCATGTGTGTGCATGCTTGAGAGTTCTGCCTCCAAGCAGAGTGACCCAGTAGGGGGTCCAAAACACTATGCCATGCTGTGCCATGCCTTAAACATTGTGCTTGATTATGTACATACAGGTCAAGTTGACTTGAAGGATGTCACCAGGCATCAAGGACACAAGAGCTTCCAGAGCTTGCCCTGGGGCTGGACACCTCAAAGGCCAACAGAACTTAGTGTTGTAGGAAGAAGCCCAAGGTGGCAAGCACTGTGCCTGGGTGGCTCCTCCTTGCCCCTACCCTCCCCCCTTCCTTTCCACCCTTAGTCTGACCCTCTCTCCAGTTCTGACATGCTTAGCTTTGGGAAGTTCACAGAGAGAAGTGTGTGTCTTTCTCTTTGTGCTTTAGTTATATCAGGTGTACTAAATCCCCTGGGTGGACTGTCAGCGGGGCTGGGAACACAACAGCTGTGTACCTTGAGGCTCTGCTGTCATCAGGCCAATGTTCTGAAGCTCAGCCCACCTCCTGCTGGTTTCTATCATGTTGGTGATGTGCTAATGGTGGAGTTCTTGGTAATTGTCATAATTCAAAGAGGTGGCCTTTCCTCTTTCTGAGGTTACATGTGAGTACAAGTTCAGAAGGCCCCTTCCCTCTTACAGAGGGCAACTTTGCCCATGCCACTATAGGGGTGGCTGTCCTCTTCAGGTGGGTCAGGCCCAGCTCTCTGATGGCCTTTGCTCACTGCTCCCCCACAGGAGTCCTGTGCTTGCACCTCCTGCTGCCTGGCTTTTCTGTACTGTCTGCTTGCCCAGACTTACTGGGCTTCAGGTCTGTGAGAGCTCTTGTCTCAAAGCCAAGACCCAGCTTGCTTCCCTCCTCATTTGCCCTTCTGAGCATTTGCCACTCAACTTACTGTCATATGTGTCTGCAGGTGCACAAGTCCATGTCTCCTCTGGTAGAGCAACTGGTCACCGAAGCCACTCTGGGTGACTGAAGTGTCTCTCAGTGACTTACTCTCTGGTCTTTTGTTCCTACAGAGGCCCTTCTGTGGCTCATTGTAGAGATAAAAGTGGAGGTGGTGGCACGGGAGGAGACGCTACCCTGAAGGTTCTCTTCCATCCCATACTTGGGAGTTTTGGTGGCCACTTGTCCAAGCTCTTTGACCACTTTGGACCAATTTAATGCCTTTCTCTGAGTAGCCTTGTGGTCTTGTGTGGCTGCCGGGCCTACCTCTTCCTGGACTGGCCTTTCAGCTCCTGATGTGAGCAGGCAGTGTCTCTCTGCTCTATCAGGCAGTGGAGTACATGAGCAAGTGCTTTCCTTTGGCTAATTGGTGGATTTCATCCTACCCAGAGCTATGAGGTTTTTCAGGGGGAGTCAGTTTGGAACAAGTGCTGACCTGTCTTCTAGCTGCCAGGCCTCATCTGCTGATCTAGACTTTGGTCCTTGCATGGGTCTGTTTGCGAGCGCTAGGATATGCATTATCAGGCTACCTATGCACCACAGTACCCACTGGCAGACTGGGCATAGGGCAAGATCTCAGTTCCTCCTGCCTCCTCATTGCCCTCAGCGCTCTTCCAATAGTCCATTTGATCCTGACTCCTGTTTCTCCTTATGCTGCCTATGGCTTGTGCTGCCTCTGGCTGAGGAAGCTGCCCCTTCCTTTCCCCACACACATACCAGGCTTCTCTCAGGCCGGTGGTGGAAACCTTGCTCTGTGTGCTGCAAGACTTCACACCACAATTATCCTCCTTCACCTCACTGACACGTTTCTCAAAAACTCTGCCTGGGGGACTGCCATGGTATTCAGCAGGCCGACTTTGTCCCATGGAGCACTTCTATCCATAGGGTCATAGAGCCCTCAGTTGCCAAAGCCAGCTGCCTCACCAGCCTGCTGTGCTGTGTGTGGCTTTTAGAGGAGCATCCTCCCTTCTGTTTCTATCATTCCCTAGCCCAATGAGCACCTTTCAGCACAAGTGTGCTAGTACCTCTGCAAGCTTATCCAGTGCCTACTCATGTTCTAGTTATAGCCGTGCCTCTTGGCATGCCTTTCTTGCCACTGAGCTCCCCTTTTACCTGCACCAAGGCCCTCTTCCCCCTCTTCTTGAGGTATTAGAGTCATCTCCTAATTACTGCCCTTGGTGAAGCATTCTTGAAAGGATGGAATACCTGGGAATCATTTTAGGGGCAATTGAGTAGGGGGTAGACTGGGGAGTGGGGCACTGATAGATAAGACAAGCAGCATCATATCTTGATTACTATTGAACTGTCAGGGCAGGGTATACAGAGACTTGCTCTGCTGTTCTCTTTACTCATGCATATGTCCGACAGTATCTTCAAAAGGTTTGAAATAAGAAAAGCAAAAAATCCATTCCAGGACACACAGGATCCCTTTCCTGGCTATTTCTAACTGCCTTGCTTCTGACCTGAGTCTCAACTACACTGTGACATCCTGGCTCCCCGCATGCCAGATTCTCACAGATTTTGGTTAGGTCTTTATGTTTCTGTTCTCAGCCATTGTCTGCCTTGCTGGCATAGGAGTGTGTGTGTGTGTGGGGGGGGGGGTGCCTCTCAGTGTTTATAACTCTGTAGCAGACATCTCTGGGGCTTCATCACAACCTCATAGCCTTCAGCCATGGTGGGCTGCTCCTTGGAGGTTAGCCTCACCTTCTGCTATCATCATTCTACCTGAAGTGTGGCCCTATTTGCCCAGGGCCTTGTAAGCTGCTTGTCGGACAGCTTGGAAGCCTGGAGGAGAACATCCTAGGGAAATGCCGTTCAGGAGCCTTCAAGCTAGTGCCCCATGCAGATGTCCTGGCAGAGACACATCACATTGCCAGATGTAGCTGCCTCAGTTATGCTCCTCTCTTGTCCTTTTTCCTTCCATCTATTTCCCTCAATTGATTTTCCCTCCTTTGTGACATTGTATCTTCATCTCAGGGGACATAAGTACGACTTTGGCCTGTCCAGTGTACTGGTAATGGCAGCTGTGGTGGTCACTTAATTTCCAAGGAGCCTCACACACCCTCCTTCTTCCTTTTAGATGATGCAGAATTTGCTGTTGGAAGAAGGGGGCCTGGTTCAGGTGGAGAGCGTCAACCTTCAAGTGGCTACATATTCCAAATTCCAGCCTCAGAGCCCAGATTTCCTGGATATCACCAACCCCAAAGCAGTGTATCCTTTTGAAATAAGTTACCTCTGGCCAGCTGCTGGTGGCTCACACCTATAATCCTAGCTATTCAAGAGGCAGAGATCAGAAAGATTGAAGTTCACAGCTAGACCCTATCTCAAAAATACCTAACACAGAAAAGGGCTAGTGGAGTGGCTCAAGTGGTAGAGTGCCTGCCTAGCAAGTGTGAGGCCCTGAGTTCAAACCCCAGTACCACCAAAGAAAAAATAAAAAATGAAGGGTTCCTCTGTAAGAGAAGGCTGCTTGGTGGTCATTAAACAGCAGGTGCTTTGTTAAACCTGTACCTGTTCTGGGGACCACACATTTTTTTTGTCGTTGAAGTTGTAATCTGTGAACCACAGCATTTAGCCAGCACTTCCTCCTGACTCCTGGCCTTGACCAAGTGCACTGAGTGTGGCCCTCCTCTTCCAGATACTTCCTGGAGTCCAAAGTAGACCCTTCTTTCATTTGGACTATGCCACCTAGCAAAAACCCCAGGGTATGCAGTGTGTCCAGCAGAAGAAGGTGATCACTCATCTTCCAGTCTTTCTGTGGCTGCTTGGCCCCCTAACTCAGCCACATGAACTAGTCAGTTGGACCTACTTGGTGCTCAGGTTTAGAGGGCTCATTCACTCTAAGCCAGTGGGTAATGTTGACTAAGTACATTTTCTGTCTCTCAGCAAACAGAAAGCAAGTGGTTTAGGTTCTAGTGATTTTTTTTTTTTTCGTGGTGCTGGGGCTTGTACTCAGGGCCTACACCTTGAGCCACTCCACCAGCCTTTTTTTGGGATGGGGTTTTTTTGAGATAGGGTCTCATGAACTGTTTGCCCAGGCTGGCTTCAAACAGCAATCCTTCTCATCTCTGCCTCCTGAGTAGCTAGGATTACAGGCATGAGCCACCATCGCTTGGCTTTTTTTTTTTTTTTTCTTTTAAATGTTTGCCTCTGAGCTTAAGCCAGGCGTATGTGTTTATAATATAAAGGAGTGTTCACTGTGGTTGAGGGACATTCTGTGTGTGGGCTGTGATGAAAATCTCTACAAGATCTCTAGCTTAATGGCCCCAGTTGGTTGGTTAAGACCATAATGCAGCTGGGCGCCAATGGCTGACACCTGTAGTCCTAGCTACTGAGGAGGCAAGAGATCAGGAGGATCATGTTCAAAGCTAACCCAGGGCAAGAAGTTCATGAGACCCTATCTTGAAAATAACCAACACAAAACTAGGCTGATGGAATGAATGAAGTGGTAGAGCACCAGCCTAGCAAGCATGAGGCCCTGAGTTCAAATCCCAGTACCAATAACAACGACAACAACAAAGACAGTAGTACATAAGGGTGTCCACTTCATTTTGGGATTTTTGTTTGTTTGGTTGGTTGGTTTTTAGTTTTGTTTTTTTGCCATGCTGGGGGATCAAACTCAGTGTCTTATATCTAATAAACAAGTGCTCTACCATTGAACTACATCCCCAGACCTATTTATTTTTTAAAATGCATGCTTAAAAGAAAACCCAAACAAGCAAAAGAACAGATCCATCGCTTCCTTTTCCATCTGCTCACTCTCTTCAGGCTCATTTTCAGTAACTATTGGTTATGTCCTGCATGCAAATGAGACATGTTAAGTCCTTTGCTAACTGTATTCTGGACACAGTGGTCATATTGAGCCCCCTTACTGGTTAGTGATGGACTAGGGGGCAGTGTTGAACACTGCCCACAGCTCAGTCAGTGGTGAATGCGCATTATGCAAACTGAACATGGGATTGCTTTCTAAGGCTGTTCCTGTAGTTAACTTGTTAGTGGGGAGGAAAGGGTGTCACTTTTGTCAGCTAAGAGTCAGCTTGGTATTCCCAGGTCTGACTGATGGTTAGGATGAAGATAGTCTTAGCACAGAACAGGGAAGGTGGAGATCTGGCCACAGCATGTGCCGGCTGCACAGAGCCGATGCAGGGAGCCAGCAGTGCGCTTAGAGGCCAAATGGCCCTGGACTCAGTGCTCAGCTCAGGACAGCTCTTCCATCTGTTTAAGTGAAAGTCACTCCCTCACGAGGTCACTGGAGTAATACTCCATTGTACTAAAGCTGTGAGGTTTTAGTCCCAGCATGCCACTCTGTCTTCCAGTTCCTCACATACACTTGTTTCAGATTGAAGGTATGTGCTTTGCCATGTTGCCTTGACTGTATGTGTCTGCAGACTGGAAAATGCATTGAGAAACTTTGCCTGTCTGACCACTGGGGATGTGATCGCCATCAACTACAATGAGAAGGTAGGTGAGCCCAGCATAGCCTACATCGTATCTAAAGAGCACCAGCATTGCCCATTCTGGTGTTTACATGAGGCTTCTTTTTTAAGCAGGGTCTGCCTGGATCGAATGCCCTGATCACTGCCTGCTTTTTGCTTTATAAAATCTTTATGGGTTCACATTTACAGCCCTACTTCACTCAGCAACTCTGCGTTAAGGATTGATTGCATTTATAGTTGAAGAAACTTAATGTTATTTACTTATTAATCATACCTCTGTGTATGGTGGCAACAAGGCTGTCAGTTCTGCCTTTGTTGAAAATGTCTTCACTGGCTGGGCACGGTGGCACTTTTCTATACTACCAGCACCTTTAAGAGGCTAAGGCAGCAGAATTGCAAGTTTGAGGCCAGCTTGGGATACATGCAAGATCCTGTCTCAAAAAAAAAAAAACTGGTCTTTACTGTACCTGTTATTTAAGAAAGCTAAAGTTAAGACCTTTGCTGCTAATGCTGAGAGGAACTGGAAACAACCTATCTGTGTCCTTGTCCTTGTCCTTGCCCTTGTGATGCCCTCCCCTAGAAGCAGGCAGGTCTTTGATAAGCTGTTCCTGCAGAGGTCTGAAAGCTGTGGTTGTTGCTCACCTTGAAAGCAGAGGTTGGCTCTGCCTGAGGACAGTGCCTCCTGGGATTACTTCTTCTCCTCACAGGAGCCCACCTTTTATTTTCCCCTGTGGGACTGCTATTGAACTCAGGACTGCACTTTCAGAGCAGGTGCTCTACTGTTTGAACCCTATCTCCGGTCCATCTTGCTCTGGTTAATTTGGAGATGGAGTCTCAGGAACTATTTTCCCAGTCTGGCCTCAGAATTGCATTCCTGCAGATCACAGGCCTCCCAAGTAGCTAGGATTACAGGCGTGAGCCACTGGTGCCCAGCTCACATTTTCTTTAACTTCAGTTTTCCTTTAAGCGGCTTCTCTGGGCTTGACCCTGCCTGATAGGTCTTTGAGAGTGAATGCCTCTGATGTTCATCCATGATACTGTGCTTCGTAGGTGTCTGAGTCCTAACAATTTAGCTATAAAGTGAAATGACAAATGAGTTCCCGAAAAATTCAAGAAGGCGTTCACTTTCCCATTTTCCAAGGAAGCATGTCTAAAGGAGAATGTGATTGGAAATCTTGCTGCTAAACTGCCATACCCATAAGTGGAGCACAGCAGTGTGGGTGCCTCTCATCTACTATGATAGTAGATGATTGACCCTCATGGTGCTGCTGCCAAGGCTGACCTCCAGTGTTCAGGAGTGACTCCAGCCTGGCTTGGCCTGGCTTTCTGAGACCAATACTCAGTTTCTCACGACACATTGGTCCCTTTAGACTGGAGTCCCCACACCTGGTGTCATAGAAGCTTGTGGGTCACTTAGTTCCTCCCTTGCAGAATCTAGAGGCCAGTTACTCACTCAGAGTTGGTATAGGGATCCAGTCTCTGACAGTTTCTTTACATTTGAGGCACCCGATGTTGATAATCCTTACTTTCTTCCTCTTTTGTGGGTTTCAGATCACACTTTTTCTTTTTTTAACAGTACTGGGATTTGAACTGAAAGCTTCTTGTTTGCCAGGCAAGCACTTTTACCACTTGAGCCATGTGCCCAGCCCACTTTTTCTTTGTATAAGCTAAGAAATGTTTTTGTATTTAGTATCATGGAGAATATTCTAGGTATTACCTACTTTAAATATTTTAAACTTTTATAATTTATAGGGAGGCAAGATGCCAATGGCCCACTCCTGTAATCCTAGCTGCTCAGTAGGCATAGATCAGGATTGCAGTTCAAAGCCAGCCCCAGACAAATAGTTTACGAGACCCTATCTCAAAAATGCCCAACACAAAAAGGGCTTGTGGAGTGGCTCAAGTAGTAAGAGCACCTGCCTAGCAAGTGTGAAGCCCTGAGTTCAAACCCCAGTGCTACCAGAAACAATAATGATTTATAGGCAACTTTTTGGTTTGTTTTTTATTGTTGTTTTTGGCAGTACTGGGGTTTGAACTCAGGGCCTCATGCTTACTAGGCAGGTACTCTACCACTTGAGCTACTCTGCCAGCCATTTCTTGTGTATTTTTGAGATAGGGTCTTACAAATCATTTGCCTGGGCTGGCTTTGAACTGCAATCTTCCAGCTTTCAGCTGTTCATTTTTTTCTTTTTATGGTGCTGGGATTTGAACTCAGGGTCTACACCTTGAGCCACCCTTCCAGCCCTTTTTTGTGATAGGTCTTTTCGAGATAGGGTCTCGTGAACTGTTTGCCTGGGCTGGCTTCGAACCACAATCCTCCTGATCCCTGCCTCCTGAATAGCTAGGATTGTAGGTATGAGCCACTGGCGCCTGGCTGTTCACTTGTTTTGATGCAGGTTCTTTCTATGTAGCCCAGACTGGCCTCAAAAAAATTGGTTTTTTTTTTTTGGTTTTTTTTGGGTTTTTGTTTTTTTTTTTTTGGTTATATTGGGGTTTAAACTGAAGGTCTTACACTTACTAGACAGGCACTCTAATGCTTGAGTCAGTTCCCAGCCCTTTTGTGTTGGGTATTTTCAAGATAGGGTCTCACAAACTATTTGCCCAGGGCTGGTTTTGATCCACCATCCTTCTGATTTCTGCCTCCTGAGTAGCTAGGATGACAGGCATGAGCCTGGTGTGGCCTCAGACTCTTAATCTCTCTGAACCCACCTCCCAAGTGAGGTGCTGCCATGCCTGGCCCAATTTTTTAGATATATAAATAAGTTCAGTTACCTAACTTATCTGTTGATAGGCATGTTGAGTATACACAATTGTTAGCAATGTTGGAGTATACATTCTTAAAGGTACTTAGCTAATTATTTACTTAGAGCTCCCTGAACCAAACATGATGAGTCTTCAACATAACAGTATCACTTGAGCAATGATCATAAAGGCAGCCTACCCTGCAGCAGCATTGTGGATGTTGAGAGATGGTATGGAGGTTGTAGCCACAGGAGTCAGGTAGAGAGCCACAGAAACAGGGATGGTGCCAGCCCTCAGTACTGCCTCAAAACTGTCCAGTTGATTTCTGTGTTCTTTCCACAGATCTACGAACTTCGGGTGATGGAGACCAAACCCGACAAGGCTGTGTCCATCATCGAGTGTGACATGAATGTGAGTGGGTTTTGGTTTTTTTGTTTGTTTGTTTGTTTTTTCAGTTTTAGTGAGGTCAGGCCAGGATTCCAGGAGGGTGTCACAACCCCTGGCACTATTTGGGTGAAGAGAACGATGCTGTCGGGACATCGTGAGGAAGCCGTTCACATTGTGATCCATTGCATGGAGTGGTGGTAGACTTTGCTGCCAGCACTGAGGTGGCTGAATCCACGGTCATCTCAGCCCTGCCAAGGAATGGAATAACTGTTCATAAGAGCCGAGGAGACCTTCTCAGTTCTCTGAGTAGGAGCATACTATTAATACACACAGCTTTCTGGATGCCAAGCAAAAAAGCTAAAAAAATTAGTCTGCTTTCATCTATATGACATTCTTGCTGTGTTTCAACTTTAGAAACAAGACAAATTAGTGGTTGCCGCAAACACAGGGGATCCTTATGGTGTTGGGACTGTTTAGTACCTCAGCTGTGGTGATGGATACACAGACCTCCATGGTAATGACACAGTATAGAACCAATTCTTTACACACAGAAATAAGTACACATAGAACCTGGGAGCTCTGTGTAAGAGCAGGGTGTCTGTCAATGCCGATATTCTGGCAGTTATGCCACATAATTTCTAAAGTGTTGCCATTAGGAAAACTGGGCAAAGTACAAGGCATATCTTTCAGTATAATTTCTTAAAAATATATGAATCTATAGTTGTCTCAATTTAAACAGATAAGGAAGTTGAGTTATTGCCATGTCTCAGAATTTTACCTTTCATCTTGGAAACACAGGTGGACTTTGATGCTCCCCTGGGCTACAAAGAACCTGAAAGACAAGTCCAGCATGAAGAGTCAACGGTAAGTGGGTTTTCCCCACCTCCCTTCCAAGCCATCACATGCTTGCTCTTTCTTTGTACTGGTGCTTCTTTGTGTAGGGTCTCTGCTGGGGCTGGCCCAGTCACATTCTGCTTCTCTTCCACCCCACCTCCTGGAGGAACAGAATTTCCTAGCTAAAGGGACTGGGGGCAGCAGTAGAAATGGGAGGCTCAGGAAAAAGCTGGCACTCCTGCTGAATAGCTCACTTCCTGTTTCTCTGTCTCCCTGTCAGGAGGGCGAAGCTGACCACAGTGGCTATGCTGGAGAGCTGGGTTTCCGCGTGAGTATCAGGCAATATGTCTTAACTCCCTGCTCCTTCAAACTATTCCCTCCTTGACAAGCTGGTCTCTGTGACACTCTGCAGAGGTTAGACTCTGGGTATCTGTGCACATATAAATCAAGCACTTGCTCAGTTACTATATACCCTTTTATATTCACTTGTTTGGGAATCCTAACAATCCAGTAAGGTCACCAACTTTTGCACTTTTCAAAACTTACTAATCTAGGGCTGGGATGTAGCTCAGTGGTAGAGCACTTGCCTAGCATGTGCAAGGCCCTGGGCATGATCCCCACCACTAAAAAACAAAAACAAAAAGCAAAAACCATTTCTAACCTCCCACAAAGTCAAAGTACAATACACACATACATCCCACATACTCTCTTTCTTTAGGTTCACCTGTTACGACATTTTCTTGATCTCTCTCTGAAAGCAGAACCCATTTTTCTTTGCCTGTATGATGTAAAGTAAGCTACAGACTGAGGATGTCACAGAAGTGGTAGAGTCCTTGCCCAGCAAGCATGTGACCCTGTGTTCAATCCCTAGTACCCCCACCAAAAAAAAACAACAAAACTTTGGAGCTGAGCAAGGTGAAGCATGTCTGTAATGCTACTGGGGCAAGAGGATCATGAATTCAAGGCCAGTCTAGGATATATAACAAGACTCTGTCTTTCAAAAAAAAAAAAAAAAACACAAAACAAAGCAGATAAAAACCCAGGCACCAGTGGCTCATGCCTGTAATTCTAGTTTTACTTGGGAGGGGAGGAGAACCATAATTTGTGGCCAGCCTGGGTAAATTGTTCACAAGACCCTATCTGTAAAAAAACAACCAAAACAAAATGGGGCGTAGCTCAAGCGTAGAATGCCTGTTATAAGTTCAAAGTCCTGAGTTCAAACCCTAGTTTCATCAAAAGAAAAAAAGGGGAGGAAGTTGGTAGGACAGATGATGGGGGCATTGAAACTAATGTATAATAGAAACCTAATTGGAATTGTCATTATGAATCCCCTGCTGTATAATGAATATATCATGATAACAAATAAAATAAAAATTTAAAAGAAAAAAGAGAAAGAAAGTTAAGTAGCGAGGCTCCCTGGAAAATAGGTAGAAATGGTTCATGTGTGGGCACTGAGATGCCATGAGGCAGTGGAGACACGACTGTACATTTAGGAAGCTGGGCCTAGAGGGCAGTTGTAACACGGACTTTAGCCATCCACAGGGTTTGAGCTGGGTGATGCCCGCAGAGATTCCTCAGAGGTCAACCCATCACTGGCTGCTGGCTGTCCCTAGGTCATGTAGCTCTTGTGGCTCCCAGTAGTCCCTTACCTGGCTAAGCAGAGAGATTGTAGCTGCCAGCACTCCAGTAGCTGGGAAGGGGTCCGGGGAGCACCACCAGTTCAAATCTCCACAGCAGTCTCTAAGTAAAGGGCACATGTGTTCACTCTCAAAACTTTGCATACAACCCTCCTGCTTGCATGTCTAGGCCTTCTCTGGCTCCGGGAATAGACTGGATGGAAAGAAGAAAGGGGTAGAGCCCAGTCCCTCCCCAATCAAGCCTGGAGATATTAAAAGGTAGGTCTGTTCTTGGCTGTGCCCCTGCTGGGTATTTTGTCTTTGTCCAAGAAGGGTATGTATCAGCCTTTTGAGGTGGGACAGCCTCCCTCTAACCCTGGGCTAGTCTGGCCATGAGGTAGACTCAAACTCCTGCTTGCTCTCCTGAAGTGGTGGAGCATGACATTGTTGGGTTCAGAGACTCTCATAGCAGATACTATGGCCATCGCAGCAGGGGCAAGGATGGGATGTGTCAGCTGTCTCCTCTGTGTGACCAGAAAGAGAATGCTGGAGATGAGTTCTTCTACCCAGTCAAAGAGTGAAGTGAGGGCTCAGGGCATAGCTGAAGTGGTAGAACAATTACCTTATGAGGCCCTGTGTTCCAACTCCAGTACCTCAAGGGAAAAGGGAAAAAAAAAAAATTGAGTAAAGTTTAGAGTTTAGGGGGATCTGAGAGGCTTAGAATAGAGGTCTTGGGGTGACCCCTTATCAGAGGCCAGGACCAGAGTCTACACCCCCTTGCTCCATACCCAGTCTTTCTGGTAAGCCAGGAAACCATTTGCTTCCTGGTTCCCTGATAGAAGGATACTGGGAGCTCTCAAAGGCTGGGCAAAGACCCAAGTAAAGTGCAGCAGAATACTCCAGAGAGTCAACAAAAGGACACTCCTTTTTTCTGCTTTTGCTTTCCCTCTTCTTTATTGTTAAAAGCAAATTACAGTCCTTTCTTCTTGGAACTAACATTTCTCCTCTACTTCACAGAGGAATTCCCAATTATGAATTTAAACTTGGTAAGATCACTTTCATCAGAAATTCACGTCCACAGGTCAAAAAGGTTGAAGAGGTGAGTTTATTTAATTGGTTGTGAGTTATTTTACTTATTAGTGATTACTGGTATTCTTACCATTCAAAATAGGGGAACTCTGTCAAACTTTAACCATTTCTGGGTCTGTCTTGATGGTCTGATTATTTGGTAGAACTGTCATGGGTCTGTTATAGGCTGAGGCTTGGCGGCCCAGGGGTCAAGAACCAATTCTAGTCTCTTTCTAAAGAGGTGGTGGCTTAAGTGAGTCTCATCTTCTGTTTGCTTACTTTTTGTTCCTGATGGTGGGGATTGAGCTCTACCACCTAGTCTCTGTTCCTCACTCCTACCAGAGACCTTGAGCCTCTTGTCTCTGGACAGCATCTTCTAGCTGAGTGGGACAGTTGTAAGAACAAATGAAATTGATGAGTTCCTGCCATGATCAAATGGGTGGAGGATAGAGAAGCTAGGTGCCTTGTTGATTCCAGGACAGAGGCTGCACAGGAAAGGAAGACTATATGGCTTAGCTATGGCTTGCATTTACATGGTTGTCATCACGTAAACACTGAATGGCCCTGTTAGAGATAAAGCAGAGGTGGGGTACCAGGTATGAGTGTGTGTATTGAAAATTGCAGAATTCTTTTTTTCAGAGGAAATCAAAAGACAGTGTCCTGTTGGGCACCTATGGGTCACAACTGTAATCCTAGATACTCAAGAGGCAGAGATCAGGAGGATCATGGATTGAAGTCAGCAAGGATGGTGGAGTGGTTCAAGGTGTAGGCACTGAGTTCAAGTCCCAGTATCGCCAAAAAGAAAAAGGGGGCAGGCTCAAGTCGTAGAGTACCTGCCTATCAAGTGTGAGGTACTGAGTTCAAACAAAAACAATTCCTCAAAGCGACTAGCAATTAAAAGTATATGAAAGTCGGACACCTGTAGCTCAGTCCTTAATCCTAGCTACTCAGGACCACAGCCAGCCCCAGGCAAATAGTTCTTGAGACCCTATCTCAGAAAAATCCATCACAAAAAAAAGGGCTGGCAAGTGGCTCAAGCAGTAAGAGTGCCTGCCTAGCCATTGTGAAGCCTTGAATTCAAACCCCAATGCTGCCAAAAAAAAAAAAGCATACAGAAAAAACAAGCCCTCTTTCTGCTGATGAGAGAATAGCTTGGATAGAATATTTCTGAGGACTGGTTGGTCTATATATTAAAAGTTTTTCAGACAGGTGCTCATGGCTCAAGCCTGTAATCCTAGTTACTCAGGAGGATCAAAGTCCAGAGCTAGCACCGGCAAATAGTTTGTGAAACCCTATCTCAAAAAACTCTTCACAAAAAAAAGGCTAGTGGGGTGGCTCAAACCCTTAATACCTAAGTTCAAACCCTAGTACCACAAAAAAAGTTTAAAAAATATGTACCCTTTTATCCAGGAATTTCACTTCTAGGAAAATTGAGAGCTCTGTGTAAACACAATACTGCTTACCACAGTACTGCAGTGTTTACAATACTGTAATCCAGTGGAAGACTGGCTCTTCCATATGATGTAATTCTCTGTAGTCTTTGAAGTATGCCAGATAAATTCATTGACTTGAGACTTCAGAGTTAAGTGAGAACGCTGTTTATATAAACATGCAGAAAAATGACTGTAAATGTTACTTTTAGGTGTTGAAGTTATGAGTGGTTTTTCTTTTGGGGGACTGTTTCATATCTTTGCATTGAAAATGATTATTATGTAAAACTATATACAAATGGTCCCCAACTTATAGTTCGGCATAGGATTGTTTGACTGTACAATGACATGAAAGTGATGCACATTCAATAGAAATCGTACTTCGGGAGGAGGTATGGCTCAAGTGGTAGAGTGCCTGCTTTACAAGCACAAAGCCCTGAGTTCAAAACTCAGTCCCACCAAAAATAAAAAGGCATACATCACATTTTGAATTTTGATCTTTTCCTGGGCTAGTGAAGTGTGGTATGATTCTCTCACAATGCTGGACAGCAGCAGCGAGTCACAGCTCCAGTCAGTCACACAACTGAAATGAGGGCAAGCAACCAGTACTCCATGGTGTTTCCTGTTGTTAAGCTAGAATGTTTGGTAGGTTAGGTATACTAAATGCATTTTTTCTTTATAACAGGTTTACCAGTATATAACCTCTCCGTAAGTTGAGGGAGGTGTTAACAAAGGTGACAACCTGGAAACAAGGTGTTTCCAGGTGGTTTTGTGATTGTTTCTCAGTGCAATAAATTATGATTTGTATCTGTATTTCAGAGACATTTCTTATTGCAAATCATGAGGAAGTAAGGAAAATGGGTGGATTATCAATGAATCCACAAAATAAGGCAATTGTAAACCTTCAAGGAGTTTCTGATAACAGTATCTTGTCTTCACACCTAGGATGAAGCTGGAGGCAGATTCGTTGCGTTCTCTGGAGAAGGACAGTCATTACGTAAGAAGGGAAGAAAGCCATAAGTCAGGACTGTTGACTGATTGGAAAATAAAAGAATCCATTGCAACACACTGGCTTTTAATTACTGGCTCTGACAAGGATGAGACTCTCATCAGAGAATACTCTGTTACTTATGGTTTTTAGAGTTACCTAAGAATTATCAAGTTTGACCAGGACATGGAGCAGCTGGACTTCATGGTTGTTTGCTTGATTTTGGGAAAGAGAAGGAGCTGTCTCTGAGGTCCCGTAGATGGCCATCTCCTCTACATGCTTTAAGCTCAAGGGCTCTCCCACTGCTTCAGGGAAGCAATGGTCCCTAATCTGTGACAAAACTAGTGGAGGGATTGAATTGCTCTTAACTTGAGGTGTTCTTTCTCTTTCTTTGTTTTTTTTCCTTTCCCAAGGTTTTTGGCCTATAAAAATGTGGTTTAAGTAGATAATGTGCTCCATAAGAAGTGGTTCTCCCACTGTAGGCCCTGCAGTTTAAGTATATGAAAGAGGGTATTTCTGTTTTTATTTTATGTATTAGGAAAACCTAATGCAAAGGAGTTCACACTTTTTTATTTCATATGGAAATAACTGGCTCCTTGGTGAGCCTGTTCTATAGTAAAAACTCCATGATGAAGCCAAATGTGAAATTATCCCAGGTGCTGCTGGCCTGCCTTTATTTTTGATAGATATATTAAGTGCTGAAATTAAGTTCAGAGTCTTGTGATTACTAAGCATGAGCTCTGTCACTGAGCTGCACCTCCCACCCCAATTTTTTTATTAGTTTTAATCTGGCCTCAGATCTTTACTTTCTATAATGTGAAATTTTTTGACATTCTAATCCAATTATTTTAAATTTGTTCCTTAAGACTAATTCTAAGTCAAGAATTTCAAATAAAAACAGGCAATGATTAAAACTTGAATCGCCTCTAGGTGTTTAACATGGATTGGTGGTTGGGCCACTAACCAAAAGTTTGAGGAAAGCCAACTAATTTGTGCCCTATGTGCCATGCTGCTTAGAAAAGTGTTCCTCTGGGACTTTTCCTGGAGAATGTAGGGACCAAAGAAGCTTTCTAACACCTGGCGTGAGGATGGTCAGGCCCTGCAAGGTCCTACCAGAGTTCACCCTCTCATATAGGCAGAAGGGACTTACTCTGGACAGGGCTCGTCTTCAGCCCCAGAGTTCCTCCAAATATCCTGATTGAGGAAGGAGTGTCATGTTGTAGAGGGCTGGCATTGTGACACAAAGCATCATTGCTGACACAAACATGGTTTCAGAAGGCACAAAGCACTGTGGTGACATACCAGACCTATCATTTAGGAGTTCTTGTAAAAGTCTTCCTTGGAAAGAAGGCAGCCTCCATTTGCAGGATCACAGTGACTAAAAAATTGTTTAATGCGTTGTGAAGACTATTACTGTAGGCCCTAGCTCTGGGGTTTTGTCCTCCCCAAGCAACACCTGCTGGGTATATGTGAAACTACTCCTGTTCCTTTGCTGGATGCATACTTCCCTATTTGGGCCATGCTTCCATGACAAAGTATGGTCACCTGGCATATCGGGCCTGGTGGTTACTGCTTGCACCCTGGTCTGCAACCTCATACAGTGTCTTCACTGGGCTAGGTACCTCACCAGCAAGGTTCCTGGTAACACTGCAGTTTTCTTACCCACCTCCTGGGAGCCTGACCCAGTGTTACTCCTGGGCCAGCTCGGCAACTGCATTGTAAGACACTCTCCAGCAGATGAGTCCATTCCAATCGGAGAAAAATTGCACAGGCATTGCAGGGCATTTCCCCAGGCCCACCAACTGCCTCTTTGCCTTTATTACTTCTCTGTGCTGGAAATGCCCTTTTCTCAACCTGGGCTCTGGGAAGGTTAACTCTCCCCTTGATACCCTCACCTCTCAGCACACATTTCATGCCTTACTAACTCGGATTGCTTTGTCAGTTAACTTCTGAGTGGACACACAGATCACTGTAGCCGACGACCTGGCATGTTCGCTGCCAGTGGTTGGTGCTCAGTATGTACTTAAAAATGAATCAGATCTTGAAGATCAAAAGTAACAGTACTGGTGGAATGGCCAAAGTGGTAAGAGTGCCTGCCTAGCAAGCATGAGGCCCTGAGTTCAACCCCAATGCTGCCAAAAAATAATAAAAGCTGATGGAAAGAACTGTCCTGAACCATGGTGTTTCAGAGAGACTGAATCTGGCTGCGCAGCACCAGGTGGCAGCTAGGCACTAGGTGGAAGGCATCTGTCATCTCCCGTGCTCAGCTGGCGGGACTCCCTGTCGTCTACGCGCGGTGCTATCTCGGGCTGTTATTGGCTGCTCAACTCAAGTGTGTTTATTGGTGCTTCTCAAAGAGGTGGGCGGGCATTTTGTTGCTGAGTCTTGGGATTCATTGGTTATTGTTTCTGTCCATCACGCGGTGTCAGCTTTCCCCTGGTTTTTGTTGGCTGAAAGGATTTGAAGGCGTAGTTTGGCGGTCGCCTTGACATGGCAGACGCCGGAAGCTGGCGGGTGAGTGTCGTGGTTACTTGGGGTCTGCAGCATCTGGTCCGACCAGGTGCCGATATTGAACCGGTCCTCTCTTGGGGAGCGAGATCGAGTGCGTGGGCCCTGCCTAGACTCATTTTCTGTCGCTGCAGCCGCCGCGGGCCTGCGAGACCTACCGCGCGGAGTGGAAGCTCTGCAGCAGCGCCAGGCACTTCCTGCATCACTACTACGTCTACGGCGAGCGGCCGGCCTGCGAGCAGTGGCTGCGCGACCTGGCGAGCTGTCGCGACTGGGAAGAGCGCCGGAGCGCCCAGGCTCAGGTGCGATCGGAGGGAGGCCGGGCGCAGGTCCAGCGAGGTCCCTCCTCTGGTGTTTCCCTTCTTTTGAGAAACACCCAGCGTTAGCACACTGACAGTACTTTCAGGCACCGTTGTGGACAGAGGGAGACAGAAAGGAGAGTGATTTGAAGAGAAAGGCCTGATTTTCAACCGGCCCACGGAGGATGTGAATAATGCTGGTCGAACAACCATAACCGGGAGCCAGTCTCCACCACCCTCACTCAGCCCTGGGGACCCTCAGAGGAAAAAAGGCCCAGGTGCCCGTAACAGAAGTTTGATAGGCTGTAGAGGGTAGTGGGGGTGAGGTTTCTGAGGTATCAAGGACCTGATGGGCTTAAAAAGGTTATGGTGGTTGCTGGGGAGTGGTAGAGCGCCTGCCTAGCAAGTGTGGGACCCTGAGTTCAAGCCCCAGTACAAAAGATAATGGTCTAGCCTAAAAGAGTGCAGGGATGCACAACTTGGCTTAGACCCTTAAAAGATTGGTCTGAGCCAGGTTCCAGTGACTCATGCCTGTAATCCTAGCTACTGAGGAGGCAGGGATTAGGAGGATCGAGGTCCCAAGCCAGCCCAGCCAAATAGTTTGCCAGACTATCTTGAAAAAGCCCATCATGAGAAAGGGCTGGAGGCCCTGAGTTCAAACCCCAGTACTGAAGAAAATAAAATAAAATAAAGACAAACTGGGTATGGCCCAGCAGAAAGTCTGAAGTGTTGAGGGGTTTGTAGAGTCCAAAGTGTTCCATGCAGTGTTTGGTGGGAATGTCAGCTGTTCTGATTATCTAAAGATCAAATGTACACCTATCAACCCCAGAGTTTTCTTCTGGAAGTTTATCCTAAGGAAGTAATAACAATGCATAGTTACAGAGTTCAAAATGTTCATTGTGTCACTATTTATGATAGTGCAAAAAGTGAAAGCAACCTAAATTTCACTAACAGAAATTTGACCAAATAACTTTTTCCACACAGAGGGGTATGTAGCAATTAAAAAGAATAGGTAGGCACATATGAATAAAAAAAAAATAGTAATCTACCTAGGCATGGAAGGTTGCCTACAGTATTTAGTTTAGTGAAAAAAGCTGGAAGTAGGTTAGGCCACAGAGAATTATTCCACCTTTAGGAAAACATGTGACAGCTCTAAAATTTGTGTCTAAGAAGATGTTGAGAAGCTACTAGCTGCCACAGCAGGGATGGAGATGTGGAGGGGGGAAAGGGGTAATCTTTCATATTCTATTTTTGCATTTCTAATTGCTTTTTAAACATGATTAAAAAACATTTTATGGGCTGGAGATGTAGCTTAGTCAGTATAGTGCACTTGCCTACCATACCCAAGGTCCTGGGTTCGATCCCCAGCATTGCACAAAAAAAAAAAAAATTGAGACAACATATAGAGCTTAAACACAGACAGATAGGTAAACAGATTAAATTATATGTGCAAAGAGGCCTGCAAAGCACCTAGCACTTACCAAGGTTAAGTGGGTCTGCCCTGTGCTGCCTTGTGTCTATGTTGGGGTCAGTGACTAAGAGAAGCTGGTGAATTTAGGGACATCTGTTGTACACAGCCCTGTGCAGGTGGTCTGGCCTTCTTTTCTTCCTCCCAGCTACAACTCAAGACTGTTGCCTGCCCCCTACTCAGTCCTCCCAGCCTCAGGCTTGGCAGACGAGCCTGCCCCAGACTCACCAGGCCATCCAAAGTGAACGCCCAAGACGTGCTTTTAAATTCCTGAAATTATGGTGGCCTACACAGTTTTCTATAGTAACTTGTGAGAAAGATGACCTAGATCTGTGTGCTAATATGGAACAATCATCAAGGTATATTAAGTGCACCATACGCTACCATTTGTCTACCTGTGTTCAGGAAGGTGCTAATGAGGAGGTGGTCTAGGGGCTATGAGACAGTCCTGGGGGCCCTGGGATCCAGCTGTGAAGCAGTAAGTGATCAGAATCTCATTTGCACAGCAATCCCTCTGTGAGAGCGAGCGGGCACGCATCCAGGCTGCACTGAAGCACCCTCTGGTGTGGACCCTGAGGCAGAAGCCCCCCGAAGACTGGCACCACCCTCTACCACAGGAGGAGAAGGATGAGTGACAAAGGACCAGCACCCCTGTCCTTGCCTGTGTGGCTTCCTTGAGTCTGTTTCTTGTGGGACCAATACACAGCCCTAAAGACTGTAACTAGCCTCAAACACTGAGGTCCCTCTGAGCTTCCACCCAACCTGGAACACAGAGCAGGACATCTCCAGCCCTACCTGCACACCCCTCACCTACATGGGGGCATCCCTCCTCTGCAGTGCTCTGAAATGCCCACGATTACAGAAAGCCAAGCATTGTGGCAGTACCTGTGAGCAGCTAGGTCAGGCTGGCTCAATCCCATACCCCACCCCAGGAACAACAGCACCAGATATGGTAGTTCAGAGAGGTAGGATTCTCAGGTAAACTCTCTTTTTATTTTTTTCTGTGCTGGGGTACTGCAAAAAAAGAAAAAAAAAGAATGATGGAACAGTGTCTTTCAAACTTTTTGGACAACAGTCCATAGTAACAGGTATTGTGTGTTCTAATCTAGTACATACTATTACTTACAGCATATTACTACTGAAACAAGCTTGACAAAACAAGCTGGTGCCAGTGACTCACACATGTAATCCTAGCTACTCAGAAGGCAGAGATCAGGAGGATCTCAGTTCAAAGCCAGCACTGGGCAAATAGTTTTTGAGATCCTATCTTGAAAAAAACCCATCACACACACACACACACACACACACACACACACACACACACACACAAAGGGCTGGTGGAGTGGCTCAGGGTGTAGGCCCTGAGTTCAAACCTTGGTATCTCAAAAAAAAATGCTTATTTATACTGTGCAGGATATATTGCCATTTTCAAGAAACTGCTATGCACTCAGGATGAAACCTCTTACTATGTACAATTTAATATATAGCAATTAAAAAAAAACTACAAATATAGTAATTTGGGTGAGAATCAAGGAAATTATTCTGAGTTTTAAAGTGAATCTTAAAAGGATATATGTGACATGATTCCATTTATGTAACACTGGTGAAATAATGTCATTGTAGAATACAGCTTAGTAGTTGCTGGGGAGTTGGGGTGGGAGGACAGGTGTCACTCAAGGAGGTTCTGTGGTGAAAAAAATCCACACAACCGTGGTTTCACAGGGCTCTGTGTCTGGTAAAATTGTATATAGCCAGACATATATACAAGTGAGTGTAGATATAAGTGGTGGGATTGAAGATGCTTTGTGGAACACCAAGGTTAATTTCTGGGTCCTGACATTACTGTAGTGTGTAAGGTATTGACCTGGGGGAGACAAGAACAAGATTATCCTATGTAACCTCTCGTGAATCTATAATCACATCAAAATAAAACAATTAACAAATCCAGGTGAGATGCTACACACCTGTAATTCAGCACATGGGAGGCTGAGGCAGGAGGATCCCAAGTTCAAGGCCAGCCAGGCCTCCACAGCTAGATCCTGCCTCAAAATATCAAACAAAACAAGTCAAAAGCACTAAGGTAAAGCCCCTGAACTAGGCCTTTGCTTTGGCAGGGGGGTGTAGAAGGCCTCAGTGTAAGCCTGGATTTGGATGGGAAGGTCCAGCCGTGCCAGGGAGAGAAAGAGGCCCATAGAGGTGGAGGGACCCGGCACCATGTGTTGGCAGAGATCTGGGTAGGATTCGTGGGATGGCTGGTATCTGACATGACTTTTGTTCTACAGAAACATCTGGCTGCTTCCCAGAGGCGGGCTGGAGTGGACTCGCCTAGCATGGACAGGTCAGTTGGCCAATCCAGTAGAACAAGCAAAAGGTGACAATGACTTGGATCTCAGCACTGCTGAGGTCAGGGACATTGGTTACATTCAGTCATTGACTCAGACAGAGGTGCAGTAAAAGCCCTTGGAATCCTATGCTACATTTTTATGCAGGACTGGTAAGTGGGGTTTGAATTCAGGGCTTCATGCTTGCTAGGCCAGCACTGTACCACTTGAGCAACTCCACCAGCCCTTTTTTCTGTTGGGTATTTTCGAGACGGGGTCTCATGAACTATTTGCCCAAGTCTGGCCTGGAACCAAGACCCTCGTGATCTCTGTCCCTGAGTAGCTAGGATCACAGGTGTGAGCTGTCTAGCCAAAGGAGTTTTGTTGTTGCTTTTTAAGACAGGGTCTTTTTTTATGGTTTTAATTTGCATTTCTTTAACTGTAGGCTTTTCATTCACACTTTGTCTTTGTGTTTTCTTTTGAATGTTGCTTGTGTCTTTTATTTATTAGTGTATATTCGCTGTACGGAGGGGGGTCACTGTGATTTTAAATACGGGCTCACAATGAACCTTAATTAGATCACCTCTCCATCATTGTCCAACATCTTCTCCCTTCTTAGCTTGTTCTATTTTCATTCATGCATACACACTACATCCACTGTATTTGCCTCCTTCATCCTGTTTACCCTCTCCCTTCCCACTAGGACAGAACCTCAGACAGAACCTTCCTGTCCTTCATTGTTTAAAGTGTATATTGATTGTTCAGTGGAGTTTTGCCTTGGTATTTCACACATGTATATATCATATTTTAATCAGATTAACCCTCCCTACTACTTACTGTTTCTCTATCGTGCTGCTGTATTACAGCTTTCAGCTCATTTTGTTATTTTATCTTCATACACAGATACAAAATTTTTCAACATTATTCTCTCTTTCTCTTTTCCTATCTCCTCTCCCCCCGATAGTACCCTCAGACAGACCCATGATTACAATCATGCTCTCTCTCTCGCTCTCTTTCTCTCTCTCTCTCTGTAGCCCTGGCTGACTTAAAACTCTCTATGTACCCTAAGCTGGCCTGGAACTTGCAATCCTCCTGCCTCAGCTAGGATTGTAAGAATCTGCCACTACACCCAGAGGAAAGGACAGTTTTTAAAAAAAGTGGTTGATGCTGGTAACGAAGGCTATCCACATTCAAAAGAATGAAGCTGGTTGGACCTTTGCTAAACACTACATACAAAACTAACTCAAAATAGATCAAAGACCTAAATGTAAGACCTGAAACAATAAAACTCAGAACATAGGAGAATAATTTCTTGCCTGTGACACCAAAGTCACTGACATTAAAAATAAAAATAATTGGGGGTATGGCTCAAGTGGTAGAGTGCCTGCCTACCAAGCATGAGGCTCTAAATTCAAACTCCAGTACCAGAATAAAAGAAAGAAAAAAGAAACAAATTGGGCTTCATAAAAATTTTAAAACTTTGTGCCTCAAAAGGCTATTAACAGGGCTGGAGTCATGCAGTGGTGCAAGTGGAAGAGCACGTGCCTAGCTTGCATAAGCAAGGCCCTAGGTTCAATCCCTAGCCCTGTAATAGAATCACAGAGACAAACAGAATGGTGGTGTTGCGGAAATCTCAAGCACAGATACGGGACACAGAGGCAGTTTAGCAGGAAGCAACGTTCTATTGTGCTGGCACAGACCCAGCGGACTCGTGTCCAAAGGCTGAGCCCTGAGAACAAAGGGGTCTCACCTTAGACACCCTTGCAAGCAGGTTAGAGGCAAAAAGCAAACCTCAACCCACATATGGCTGCATGTGACTTCATTGGCTATTTCATTCCCCTAGTGCTTGTGACCTTCTTCATGTTTCAATTCTGAAAGTTTTATCTCTCTGCTTTGCCATTCCTTCTCCCTACCTCATTATCAGAACACAGCCTGTCTGTTTCTCTTCTGGTCCTCTTCCCTGCTACATCATTCCCCCCTTTGATGCTCGGACCCACCTAGGGTCAAAGAGCATCATCTTGATCTGGGGGTTTGTATTTCCATAGCATCATTACATGCGTGGCCATTTTTCTTTTTATAGTGGCCTCCATAATGTCCTGATAGACCACAATACTAGGGGGACCAGGCAGTGTAATACTAAGCATGCTTCTAGGGTAAGACCCATTGCCTGCTTTTATGACAAATATTCTGTGTTGTTTTCTTTACTCTGGGACACTTACCAGTAACCTCATTAACCTGGTAGTATATAAGCCAATTTAACATGGGACCTCTTGGTGGGTGTGTGATACAAAGTATGGCTGTGCGGAGGTCCCAACAACGGCTCTCTTATAACATTTAGTACATGGGAGAAACCTTGTAAGGGCCAGCCCAAAAGGTAAGAGTCCAGGTGTGTAGAGGAGAGCAGGGGTGCATCCCATGTTTGAGCTTCCTCCATGTTTAGACTAGTTAGCTTTCGGAGTGACTAGAGCGGGGCTGTCATCCTGTTGTTTGTGGTCCCCTGTTGTCTCCTGGAAAGGGGAGTCCTGCCGAGAAAGGGTGCAGGTGTTCCCGAGAGTGATCTTGGATGGTAAGGCTGAGTCAGAGACACACTCTCACTTGGGACAGGCTGGCTTTACTCGGCTGTGATGGATCCAGGGAGCAATTTTTGTTATTTTTAACTATAGTGGGGACAGACAAGACAACAACAAAAGGGCCACTCCAATGGGGTTTTAATGGTTGGATATATTTTTTTTTTTACCCACAGTATCTTTCAGGTTTTTTTTTAACTGAGTAGAATTACCATGGCAACAGTATACTATCAGTATACTGATAACTCATGTTCAAGAAAACTCATTGTTTAAAAAAGTTAAAACTACTATCTTTAAGTATCAAAGGACATGTTTAGAGCCAGTAAAAATAGTCATTTTGTCTCTAACTAGAAGACCCTGTCTAAAAACATGAGTTTGTGTCTGGAAGGGCTTTAATGCCAGATGTCCACACATGTTTAAAAACCACTTCCTCACTATCCTTTTGGCCTTGGTTATTTTTGAGAGGTCTGGCATGAGTGACTCCATTTGAAATTTGACAGCATTCCCTGCTGGTCTCCAAACAGTTTGTCTCCAAGCAGTCTTTTCTGAAGATTTGTCTCCTATCCAAGTATTAATCAGGCCTGACCCTGCTTAGCTTTTGAGACCAGCCAGGACTGGGCACGTTTAGGGTGGTATGGCCATTGACTGAAGATCTTTTTTGATTGGTCATTTTCTTTCCTTATGAGGATTTACTCTTTCCTGGATTTTGTTTGGTTGGTTGGTTTTGGGCCTATGTCAGGGAGGGCGGGAGGTGGGGAATAACGAGCAGATCAGGTGGGAGTCGGTACCAACTAGACCTTTTTGGTCAAATTTAAGCAACAAAGAGGCTTAGAAGGAGTGGCACTTAGGCTTCTAGAAAAGAACAATAAATAACAAAATCCAACAAAAGCAGATGTCTAAAAAGCTAACCTGGTTGACACATAAACACTTATTAGAGTCATTTTTTTATGAACTTGGTTGTAAATGTCCCAGAAGGATCAGAACAGTAATGACGAAAACTTAAAAGAGCCATGGTTAAAATTTTGATGGACAATTTAGCAACTAACAAACAATATATCAGTACCAGTAACTTTTTGTTACTGTTTTTATCTAAATTTTGTATTTTCGAAGGCTTGATATACTTGAAAAACATAAATATATTTAATATATAGGAACCAGCAACAGCATCACAGCTCTATAGAGGTTATAATATACATATTAGTTTAGCTGTTGTTCTTGAAGTAAAACCTTAAATTTTTTTCATCAATGGTGGGGGGAAGAGAACAGTTTTAATAAACCCAAATAGACCAGTCACAGACACATATAGGGTACCAACCATATTAGAATCACCCAAGAGAACAGTTGTTTAACCATGAGATCATTGCAAAAATTTTACATAAACTTAGAAAATAAGAGGCATGGAAGAGGCAGAGAGACAGCTAAAACACCAGCACAGGGTTTATTGTTCAAGCAAGAGCCCTGTGCAGGAAGACCCCAGCAAAAAAGCTAGAGCCCATTGCCACACACAAGCTTGGGCTAGATAGAGGTGGCTCGTGGAAAAGTACCAGGAAGGTCACTAAGAGATACTGTTGCTGGGCAACCAAGAAAGATAAGTTGTAGTTAGGTCACTGTCTGCTCAACTGTCCTTGGTATCCATCTAGGGAGATAAAGGTCAACAATTGTCTCTTTGTCAGTCTTTGGGGTTGAGTGGGGAGTTTTTACGTCATCTGCAAGGGGAAAGGGGTTCTGGTCCTAACATGGCTGTCCTCATTGTTAATCCCAACATAAACCAACTCTTTAATGACCATGACTCAGGTACCTCAGTAGTTACCCTGACAAAGATCACCAGAGAACACAGGTAAATATTTATGGGGTCTAAATGTGGAGTTAGGAAATCTAATGGCCAAGAATCGTGGCTCAGATGTTGATAAGGGATCGAATCCCAGGTTGTTGACATTAACACATGGCTCATGATATACAGCAGGATCCCACCAACCTGTAGTCAATGGAGCGCCCCCCCCAACCTAAAATAACAGGCCCAATCTGGTCATCCCAGGCCAAAAATTCCTTCTGCCTGCCATGTGGAAGGAGTAGGACTAACATCTCCACTCTGTTGACTCCAATAAAAACTGGAGGTCTTGACCTCCAGTGTAGTTCTCCTTTCTGAGTTGCTATTTCTTTATCCTATCTGAAGGGTGTACTTTGGCTTTTTTTTTTTTTTTTTACTTTGCTTTACGTAAGTAAATTTGTCTCAACCTCTTATCAGTGCAGCAGTACTCCTTTTGCTCAGTGCCTCTTGCCTCTCTGTGTTTTCATAAACTCTTGTTGTCTTGACAAATTTGTGGATTAACCCGTAGCACAAAAAATTTCTGACAGTTATCTTGACAAAACAAAAACCATTTTTTAGACACTTTGTAAATGTTATTAAGAACAATATATTTTTAAGGTAGTCTTGTTACGAGCTTAGAGAATTAAGTTTTAGTTCAATATTAGTACATTAAATTTTGACCTTACAAAACATTTAATGTAACTGCATTTTAGTCAAGTCAATCACTTACATAAGCACTTATAAGCTCCATCTCTTTATGACAACTTACTCTGTACCTTTATGATAACTTATTTTGTATCCCCTGGGGGAGCTTGTCTTTATCTTTTTTTTATTTAAAAGTATTTTTAACCTTTTATTTTTAAAACCCATATCCTTAATATCTTAAATGTATATATTTGCTACTTGTTGAAAATAACTCATAAAATCTTTTAGAGTCATATATTTGTATAAAAAAAACAGAAAGCAACCTTAAAATTATTTTTTGTGTAAAAACAATTTATAGAAAGCCCATTTGTTAATAGACCCATGTATTATAAGAGAGAATTAAATCCCAGATTTTATTATGACAGAATGAAACAGGCTAGGTCATTTTTAACTACCCAAATTTTAAGATTCCTGCTATAGACTGTCTCCTTCCCACCCTTATTTTTCTTTTTCTCCTCTGGTCTGATCCAGAGTGTTAACTCCTGAACGCCTGCATCCTAGTGAGACCTGATTGAAGCAAGTTGGAAAACCTGTTTTCTTAAAAGTAGCCGTAGAACAGAGTAATGATTTTTTTATATTGACTCTATAATAAGAACCATTCTCAAGATGTTTACATATTTATATGCAAAAGGCTTAAGCAGTTTATAACAGAGTTCTTTAAAACAAAAACCATGGTTTTTTGATACCTTGACTATCACATTAACCTTAGAACAGCAGTTTAAGAACCATTTTGAAGATGCTTACATATACGCACATACATACACACACACAAAAGTTTTATAAATTAAGTATGCCAGAAAAAAATGTCAACTTAAGCACACATAAGATAAGCTGGAATTCCAGAAGCAAATTAAATTTTGTCCCGTGCTTAAAACAAATTGACACACACACAAAATTAGAGTCCACTGTCAAAAAAAGAAAATGCTGTTAAATTATACCCAAAGGGCTATCCAGTAAAAAGATGGATGAGGCACCTGTTCTCTTGTGAGTCTCCCTCTTTGGAACTGAATTTTTGTTACCTATCCCTTAATCTCAGTTGTGGCTATTTCCTGGGAAGAGCTCAATACCTCCCTAACTCTTGGAGGTGTCTCACACACTTTTACACAACACAGTAATTTTGCCCCACTCCCTGAACCTGGGAGACATGGTTTCACCCCAAAAGGTGGTTACTAGAGGTCTCTAGGAGGTGATCAATCTTCCCTTCTGCCTCCTGAGGCAGGCCTGAATTTGAACCCGGGTTCTTGCCAGTCTGACAAACGGTGCTCTCGTCCCCTTGCTGGTTCCTGTGCCTCGCCGGGGTTCCGTTGTGCATCAGAGGCCTTCACCCCAACTCACTTGAAGGATGAGTCCCCTCCTCCAGATCCAGCTGTCCGTTAGTGCCTGATGGGATCTTCTCCTGGTAGGTCCAGAGGGCATACTCTGGCAACAAGGGAGGTGACAAATCACCATCTTCTCAGTCCCGGCAGGAGTCCACGAGAAATGATGCAGGAATCTCAAGCTAAGATGCAGTTTAGCAGGAAGCAACTCTTTATTGTGCCGGCACAGACTCAGTGTCCAAAGGCTGAGCCCTGAGAACGAAGAGGTCTCACCTTATATACCCTTGTAAGCAGGTTACAGAGGCAAAAAGCAAAGCTCAGCCCACATATGGCTGTATGTGACTTCATTGGCTATTTCATCTCCCCAGTGCTATGTGACCTTCTTCAGGTTTCAATTCTTTAAGTTTTATCTGTTTTGCCATCCCTTCCTGGAGTGAGCTTTCTCTCGCTCCCTTGTTCTCCTGATCTAACTGGCCTAACTGGGGGGGACAGGACATGCAGAAAGGACAAACAATATACAAACAGACATGCAGAAAGTTGGGGCCAGATGTGTTGGGCACTCAGATGGAGACACACAACAGCCTTGTTGCTTCTTTTACTTCTCTTTACTCTGCTTCTTTACTCTATCTTTATTCTTGAAGGCCTTACTCCTTTACAGTTCTTTAAAAAACTTGCTTCTTTTCTATTCTTTAAAGTCTCTTTCCTTAGACTCGCTCTGTCCCATGTTTTCCTTAGCTTTCTTAAAGTCTCAGTGCTCAGACTTGCACACAAACAACAGCAGCCACTTCTAGAAACCGCATTAGCATAACTCTTAAAGTCTCTCTCCTTAGACATGCACTGTCCCATGTTCTCTTTAGCTTTTCTTTAGCTTAGCTTTTCTAAAACCTATGTATATAGTTCCAGGTGCAGACTTGCACTGTCCCATATTCCCTTTAATCTCTAGCATAACTCAGCAGTCCACCAGCAGCGTCATTCTCTCAAGCAGCCCACCAACCAATCCACCCCCATCAAAAAACTTTCCATCTCCTTCAGCCAGTCTGTTACATCCAGTGGTAAACAAGGAGGTGGAGCAACAATTCTCAGGGAGGGGCGTGACACTGTAACAAGAGAAACCTGCATACTGCTTCTCTAAACATGAACAACTTAGGAAAAAGCAGCTGTGCTGCATTCTGCTTCTCACTCTCTTCAAGTTCTCATAAGCTTCTCGTAATCCACTCCCTACACCTCACCCCACCTGTTATCAGAACAATTTATCTGTTTCTCTCCTGGTCCTCCTCCTGCTACAGTGGGTGTCAGGGGCTAGAAGGGGAAAGGGGAAATTGGAATTTGGTTTTGACTTTTTGAGACAGGGTCTCACTATGTACTTCAAGCTGGCCCACAGCTGGAGATAGTCCTGCCTCAGCCTCTGGAGTGCAGGGACTGCAGACGTGTACTGCCACACTGGGCAGTAATTATTATTTAATGGGTACATATTTCAGTTTCATATCGGAGAATCCTAGAGATACATGGGTGGTGATGACATACAATAATATAAATGTACTCTCAATACACAATATAAATGTATATAGTGCTGAACTACAGTTAGACGTTGCCAAGATAGCATTTTTTATGTTTTACCAACAAAAAAAGGTAAAGGGCTGGAGGAATGGCTCAGGCAGTACAGAACCTGCCTGGACAGTGAGAAACCCTGAGTTCAAACCCAAGTGCCACCAAAAAGTTAAATAAGATAAAAGAAACCTACACACTTTGGGGCTGGAGCATGGCTCAAGTGGTAGAACACTGGCCAAGCAAGCACAAGGCCAAGTTCAACCCCCACTACCACCAAAAAAAGACAAAACACTTTTTTTTTTTGGTGCTGCTGGGAGTCAAACCCAAGGCCTCACATTTACTACCAAGCATCTACCAGTTACATCTCAGCCTCCAGCAATCTAACTTTTTATTCAAATGAAATGTTTCCCTGAAATATCTGCACTGAGGTGGTAAAGAAATCAAAGTCTTTTTGAGGCTGTGACACAAGCGTCTAGGAAAAATGGCACTATACTCACACTGAACCTTTTACCGTTAAAGGCTAAGTTGTCCTCACCAAAATTCCTGTTGAAGTCCTACCTCCCAACACCTCAGAATATGGCTGTCCTGGAAGCAGGGTGTTTAAAGAGGCAACTAAGTTAAAAGGAGGTTATTAGCATGGGCCCTGTACCAATGTAACTGGTGCCCTAAGAAGAGAACATAACACAGATTGAGAAACAACCATATGAAGACACAGAGAAGCAGAGTGCTGGTGGCTCACAACTGTAATCCCAGTTACTTAGGAGGCAGCGATCGGGAGGATCAGGGTTCAAAGCCAGCCTGTGCAAATAGTTCATGAGACCCTATCTCAAAAGAACCCATCACAAAAAGGGCTGGTGGAGTGGCTCAAGGTGTAGGCCCTGAGGTATAAGCCCTAGTATCACAAAACAACAAAAAATAAAAAACAAGGAGAGGAGCGAGGTCTTAGAAGAAATCAAACTTGCCAATAACTCGATTTTGGTAGCTCTAGAAAATCAATTTCTGTTTAAGGCACCCACCCTATAGTCTTTTTTATGGTAGCCTGAGCAGACTAAAACATTTACCATTAATAGCAGCAAATAAAACACTGTGAGCCCTCTACTTCAACCAGGCTTCACATACTCCTGGGATACAAAGCAGCTTTAACTAGTGTGTCCCTGGCTTGCTCAACTCTCTAAGACCTCTCTGAGTAGCTCTCCCATCTGTCTGCACTGGGAAGGTTGCTTCTCCTGGCCAATACCTTCCCAGCTTGCAAAATCCTGCACACCTTTCACCTCCACTTCTGTGTTACTTTGTGCCTCCTACAAATGGTTTTCTCACTTCACAATTGGAACCTTCCTTTTTACCCGTATTGTTTCCCAGTAGAGTAGGGGGTTGATGTCTTTGTCATTTATTTCCCAGGACCTGGCAGAGGGGCAGCATTTCTTACCCCCATCCATCCTTGGGTAAATTAATTTTGATTGCAACACAAGACAAAGAGACACTTTTGGTTATACTTTTATTCATTACCAGCATGCTTTATCTTGTGAAAAGCAGACTTCAGCCCTGGTCATTCTGACTCCTAAGGGCAGTACGTTCTGAGGACAGCTGCCTTCATCTCTATTTCTTGAATTCTTGCTGTGCGTACACCTTGGTGATGTCATTGTACCTGCCTTCAGGGGGCTGGTAACTAGAGATTGGTGGAGTGTAATGTGGCCCTTCCTTCTCAAAGGGAAATAGGCTGGAGTCCCGTTTGATGGCCTCGGTGTAGAGCTCTGGGGACTCGAGTCTCAGTTCTTGGAGAGCTTCCTGCTGTGTCTCCAGCATGGACTTGATGGCGTTCCTCTCCATTGCATGCTCTTGCTGCTTATACAGTGACCACCTCTTCAGAAGCAGAGCTCTCCGCTCACTCTCCTCAAAGGGGAGTGCCACGTGAGGCCGCTGTCTGTGAACACAGAGGCATGAGCCTGGGAGTACTGATCCTGCCTGCAAAGGAGCCTGTGTGACTGCACGTGACCCAAGAACCCCTCTGCCAGGCACAGCCAGGACTCAGGAAAAAAAAGTAGAAGTTTGGGACAAATTAAGGAAGGAATGTTTACTGTGGGGGCAGTTGCATCTAACATAGGAAGCCAAGACCATTTGCTTTCCACCTTCTCTGCTAAGGGGAATACTCCTTTGGTGAGAGGTGATGCTGGAGAAAAGTGAAATAAACACCAAAATCCTAGGGAGACAGAGCCTATTTCAGCCCTGAAGCACCAAAAAATACCTGTTTCCCACTTGTGTGGCAAGGTGCTGCTTTATGGACCATGCAAACTTTTTCAAGAAAGCAGCAAGAGCTGCTAATCCTGCGCATAGGACACAATCACAATACACATTGTATATGAGCATTTACACCAAGAGGCCAAGGGTTTCTACTTTGGGGATGGGGTGAGGAATGGTGAACCCAAGGCCCATGCCACAAGCCAAAGCCAAGACTCTTCATGGTCATTTGAGCAACAACATAAACTTCAGAGCAAGTTCATCCAAATTTGCTTGAGCATATGGCCCAGAGTTATCAAAATAGTTGTCTAGTTTCTTTTCCACCATCAGCTGTTCAAGGGTACTATCCAGGAAAACTCTGTCCAACTCTCAAAAAGGCATAATCAAGCAGAAAAAGACTCAGACCAGAGCCAAGTCCTTCCCATCACTATCACAGGCATGAACTTCAGCTTGAACTGCCTGAAGTTGATGGAACTCTTCTGCCCTAAGGACTTCAAGCCCAGAAGATAACTCTTACCTTGATTTATCCAAGAACCGCACAGGGGTAATAAAATCTTCAATGGGAATTAACTCTTGGCCACCCTTTTCCAGTTTTCGGATCTTCTTTTTCAAACGTTCCTTTGCTGCTTGATCTTTTTTAGGATCTACCTTCTTCTTCTTTCGTAGAGGTTCTCCTCTAATGAATAAATAGCAAACATTAAGTGTTTTCCTCTTCAATCTCATAAGAGATGGCACTAAGTGAAGTGCCCCATACTGAATTCTTTACTGGGGGAAAGAGCCATACGCAGTCCTGACCCCATGAGCATAGTGTGACAGGAAGATAGGTAGCTTCCATCCCATGTCATGGTGAGAACTGTGTGGGTGCTATCAACTCCAGGGAGGAGAACAAAAGCACAAAGGAGTGGGACATAAACTAGGTGTTATCTTCAGAGCTGGTACTGTGTGCCTTGGAACTGTCCTGGAAAATGAACAATACAAAACTGATGGATTAGAAACTCATTTGCATTTTAAGTGGATTTGTGATTTATAAAAAAAACGCTTTAAGACTAAAAGAAACAGGGCTGGTGGAGTGACTCAAGCGTTAAGAGTGCCTGCCTAGTAAGTGTGAGGCCCTGAGTTAAAATTCCAGGGCTGCCAAAAAAAAGGCTAAAAGAAACAATATAGTAAAAGTGACTGGCATGTCTTTATTTACTTGTCAGAACTCTTAAAGAATTTCCCCCATCCTAGAGCAAAAGTCTGGTTTTCTATTAGGAGTACATCTCCCAGTTATAATTTACTATTAAGAATAACCAAGCTGGGCAATGGTGGATCATGCCTGTAATACTAGCGATTTGGGAAGCTGAGATCTGGAGGATGGAGGTTCCACCTCCATCAAAAAGTTCGAGAGACCCCATCTCCAAAAAATAATCCGAGCAAAATGGAGATGTGGCTCAAGTGGTTGAAGTCCTGAGTTCAAACCTTAGTCCCACCACCCCCAAAAAAGAATAAATCTTTTAACCTTAAAATTGACTACATCAAATCCTAGAAAGCATCCAGAATTCCAGATGGAAATAACTCCAGTCTTCGAACCTCATCCCACCCAGGGAGTTAGAATGAGTAGGGAAGAGAAAGGTCTACGGAGAAAGAGAAATTAAGCTGTGCCTTTTAAAATACACAAGACTCTCTTTTTTTTCATCTGCACATCAGTGTTGCTCACACCCTCAGAGGTGTCAAGGCCACAACTGAGTTTTACCTCAGGGGAATGAGTTCCCAGAAGGAGAACAGTGAAGCTCGCTGGTGGGTGTCCCTGATCTGCGTCCAAGTTCCAGGAAGCCTGAAGGAGACAAGGCTACGTGTAAGTATCGGTTTCTTCCCCACTTACACGAAACGGCACACGCACACACTTTAAAACGACAGTGTTCGCCAAACCTAGGGCATTGGTAAGTTACTGGACATGAGGGCAAGGGCAAGGTGGAAATTTTTCAAAACCTCCCGTACTCGCTAGGGTCCTAGAATCTGCATCCACAACAGACAAGAACAGAATCTGCAGGCTCCTCCCTGAGATAACAGTGGACAGGGGAGGGGGAGAGCTCGGGAGAAGCCCCGGGCGGCAGAGATGCCGCCGAGCCCTGCGCATCCCACGACCGCGTCCACACTCACCCACTTGGCGGACGCAGAGCCCGAGCAGCAGATAGTAATGCCGCAACGGCCATAGTTTGGGTTTTATTTTTCCTTCGCGGACCGGTAGGCAGCTTCCGGGAGCGCGCAACTTGGCGGTCCGGCCCGCGGTGTCCAGGGAGAGGTCCGGCTTGGCGTGCAGCCCCGTACTCCCGCGTTCCGGCCTCAGAGGGCAGAGCCGATCCTGGGCCCGCCCCCGACGCAGCCACGCCCCGGGCGTCTCTGCCGCGCGCCGCACGCTGTAAGCGCGTCTCACCTACCAGTGCGCAGGGTCCTCCCTCCGCCTCCACCACGCTCGGTGAGCCCGCCCTACGGCGGGCATTGCCTTGCTAGCCTCCGCCTAGGTTTGGCCTGTTCTTCCCGCAGTGCCTCCTGAGTGGCTGAGGGGTTGTCCCTTTGCTCCACCCGGCCCAAGTGTCCACTTCCATGAAACCACCCCCATCTTCCAATAAATGCGCCAGTCCCAGCCTCCCGCGCAACCCTCCCCATGCTGGCTCGTTTCCCACATTCGTGCGAGCTTGGGGCGGCGGCTGCCCGCCAGTTGCGGCGTCCAGTCGCCTGCACGTGGCTGCCGCCCCATAGCACGTGTTGATGAATGACAGAAGCTAGTCAGTAAGTCGGACTCGGAACCAGCAAGTAGAGCTAGTGACAGGATGTCCACGACACCCACGTCCAGCCTGCTCTCGGGACAGCCCTTCCGGCGTGGCTACAACTAGACGTTCTGCTAGCCCGTCGCGGTCCCGGCCACCCAGTCTCTCGTCAGGGGCCACACCCACGCCCTCCCCAAAGTGGAGTCGCCCTACTCAGCCCCTGCCTGCCCAAAGAGCCCGGGCGGCCCCGTCCGCGTAGGGAGCGGTTTCCCGCCGGGGAGATTTGGCAGGTGCGCGCCGTGACTTCCGGCGTTGCCCGGGAGCCGCTGGAGGAGGAGCGGCGCAGGGGATGCGGCTGTGGTGGCGGCGGCGGCGGCCGGGCGCGGGGGGCGGCTGTGGCGGCGGCTGGGGTCGTGGGCCGGCAATGGCGCGGCGGCGCTGAAAGCGCGGGGAGGGCGGCGGCCGGAGGGCGGGCGGCGTGGGAGGAAGCGGCGGCGGCAGCTCCATGGCCCGGGCGCGTTGAGATACGCGGCTCTCGCCTCAGCCCGGCGGCGGCCGAACAATGAAGCTCCTGAAGCCAACCTGGGTCAACCACAATGGTGAGTGCGCGCAGAGGTCGCGGGAGGTAGAGCCTAGAGTGAGGTCGGCATCTGCAGTCCGGTTGGGGTCGCGCTTAGGCCCTGCCTGGTCCCCCGGTGCCCGGTGCCTGAGCTGCTCAGCCGGCGGGAGCGGACTTTGTCCTCCGCACCGGCAGGCCGGCGAGCCCGGGCACGTGCTTCCCTGCGAAGTCCGCCTTGGCTCCAGGCACTGGCGCCGAGTCCTGCGCCGCCCACCCGTAGTCCTCGGAGGGGCCTCGGCCTGGCTTCTGAGCGCGAGCCTGGACGCCAGCCAGGTACTGCCACCCTTTTGCACTGTCCAGAATGTGCTCAGATGGTCCCGAGTGTGAAATCGGGGCGGCATCCCCCTTGTAGCCTTTCAGTGGCCCGGAGGAGAACTAGAATCTGCAGGAGGGACTGTTACTACCCTTGCTGAGGCCTGGAGCTGGTGACAGTGCCCCCACTCGGGGACTGTCGTCCCGGAATAGGAAGGCTCAGGCTGAGGTCCTGTAGAGAAGAAGCCACGTTTAATGCTGAGCTGTGGCATCAGGGTGACTAGGATTGGGAATGAGAGGGCACAGGCATATTCTAGAAGAGAGCAGAGGCGCTCCCTTAGCTCTTGGTAGTGACCTCAAAGAATACTCCAGGGGAAAGTGCTCATCCACCATGGTTGAGACTTGACTCTGGTACAGAGAGGGCAGTAGTAACCAGTATGTCTTAGTTCTGTCTACTGTTGGAGTTGATCTTTGCTCCCCGGGGAAAGGTAGGGACAGAGTCCCCTCCTCTACTGACCGTACTGGAATACCAGGATGCATGCCCAAAAGGCACCTCCAAGGCAAAGGGTCACCTCCACCCTTCTGCTCTGCTGACAGGCAAAGGGTCACCCTGATGCTGTCTTGTTCCTCATTTCTACTTTGTAGTGCAACTAGAGGGAGCTACAGTTTTCTTTTGACGCAAGAAGAGTAGATACCCTTTTGCTTTTATTTTTTTCTAAATGTGGCTTTTTTATTTTGAACTTGGCCCCAGGATGCTCTACTTCTACAATCAAACCAAATTCAACATCTTGCCTTATGTTTTTTCCTTCCTTTCTTTTGGCTAGAATTGCTCTCTTCCATCTTTTTGTATAACATCTTCCATTTTTCAGGGCCCAGGTGAAATCACCTTTTATTTTTGAAACCATTCCTGTGGAGTTATCCCAGCATATATGCTGTGTTGCTGTGCTTTGCCATATGGAAGTTGTAGCTGTATTTTCCACAGCCCCAGAGCAAAGACTGCCTCACTTTCCTTTGTATTCCTTGCTGAACTCAGCAACACCTTCCATATAATGAGTATATGATAAATGTTGGCTACAACTAAGAAAGCTGGAGTTTCTCTTAATTTACAAAGATGCAACTAGGTTTACTGAACATGAAGCAAAAGCCTAGAACCTTAGTTTCATTTCTCCTGTTGATAGTCAAAAGAGCATTTCCTGATATATTCAGTGCATATCTTTCCATGGAGATTGTACATGTTATGATTCTAAATTATGGTGTTTGGGATCAGGAAAGGAAACATTTTATTATGAACTAATTTGCTGCGTAAGTGAAAGTCTGAAGGAATTTTTGTGTTAATGTAATTTGTCTAAATCCATTTGTGTGTGTAGCCAGCTTTCTCCAGCCTCTACCTTCTGTCAAATAATTTCTTCCTTTGCTGGATACTGGTGGCTCACGCCTGTAATCCTAGCTGCTCAAAAGGCAGAGAGCAAGAAGATTTTGGTTTGAAGCCAGCCCCGAGCAAATAGTTGTGAGACCCTAGCCCAACTGGGATTTACTTTTGGAATGTGAGGGTTGTTCAACATGTAAAAATCAATCAATGTGTTCAATCCCCAGCACCTTCCCTCCCCCCCCCAAAAAAGAATCAGCATAATATACCACATTAACAAAATTAAGGGGGCCGGGGGCTCACACCTGTAATCCTAGCTACTCAGGAGGCAGAGATCAGGATGATCGAGGTTCAAAGCCAGCTTGGGCAAATAGTTTTCTAGACCCTATCTTGAAAATACTCAACAAAAAACAGGGCTAGCAGAGTGTAGGAAAGAAGTTTTATGCTGTGTAAGTATGTCAAGAGGCTTAAGCAATTGCATGGCACAAATGATTGAGAGTCCACAACCAGGTCAGCAGCCAAATACACCAGCCTGCAAAAGCAAGGAGAATGGTAGGCCTGGATCCTCTGCACTGGCCTAGAATGGAACATAATACCTGCTCTGTGTGCTTCACAGTATGATTGTGAAGTTCAGCTGGGTACAAAGACATAACTCATCCCAGACTGTGAAGTGCTTTAGAAATCTAAGAGATAACAGTAAAAGATATTGAGACTTTGTATGGGATTTACCTTCTTTAGACTTGTTCTTTATCAGATTTCCTTCCATTTATATTTATTTATGGAGATACTGGAGTTTGAACTCAGTGCCTCAAGCTTGCTAGACAGGTGCTTTATTGCTTGAGCTATTCCACCACCTCACATTTCCTTCTTTTTAAAATCTAAAAATATAACTTTGGTCTCATGGAATGGTTAGGAAGACTGTTGGAGGTAAATTACCATTATCCTAGAGGAAATGATGTTGTTGTAAATCACTAGGAACAGACCTTTCAGGATGGTAGTGAGTAGTGGAAACTGCTTCCTGGCCAGAGCCTAAATGGTAGTTAGTGGCCAGTAAAATAGTGCTTCCTTTGGATTGAAAAAAGCTGTGGTGCTTCGGAGAGTGTTGTCATCGCACTTTCTGGCTTCCTCACTCTGCAGTCATGTTTCCTGTCTCCTTATGTAGTATGAACATACAGACATAACTTTGTCACTGAGAGTCCAAAGGGGAAGGAAAAGAGAGCTCAGTGTTTTTCCCCAGGGTGGTAGGGAATTCATTCAGACAAGGTGGAGAGAACAGCTAAAATAGAGGGAGAAGTGTTGAATTATAGGCATACTTTGATCTTTATTTTCATGACTGATAATGAAAAGCCTCTAAGATAGGGTTTCTCAGCCTCAGCACAATTGGACATTTTCCACCAGTTTTAGGGACTGCCCTGTTGGTTGTGGGGGATGCGTCTACCTACTAGATGCCAGGAGTACCCACTACCATCACCCATTTGTCACAATCAAAACTATTCCGGATGTTCCCCCAGTGTCTGTCAGTAGCCCAAATCACCCCTAGTTAAGAGGTTCTGGTCTTAAGTTATTGGTATGCTAATAAATCTTGACATCATATTGTAGTGAGATTTATCTTCTATGTGAAATGAGATTAGGGTCATCATTTACTAGCTGTGGCCTTGGTAAAATTGTATAGCTGGAAAGACTCATCTCTTTCAACTTGCTCTGTACCCAGTGTAAAAGACTATCTTAAATTAAGATGTAAAATAATAGCTAATAACATGTCATTTATATAGAACATATATGCCAAAGCACTTTCCACCCCCCCCAATCCCTGCCTTTCACTCTATTTTTTGGTTATAGTGTTCTTTAAAAAAAATTTTTTTTTCATTAGTGCATATTCATTGTATGAGTTGTGGGGGGATTTGTCTGAGTAGTCTTACATTGTACAATGTACAATCATTGTCAAGTGTTCTTGACTTAATGTATTGTGTTTTAGGCTTGGCCAAAATAAGCTTCATTTCTGAGTTAGGGTAAGATTATATATTGGGCCCAGTGTGGTGGTACATGTCTATAATCCCAGCACTCAGGAGGCAAGAGGATCAGGAATTCTAGGCCAGCCTGTGTACACAACAAGATTACATATTGGGCACTGGGTGTGGGGGCCCATGACTGTAATACCACTACTCAGGAGGCTGAGGCAGGAGGGTTATGAGTTCGAGGTCAACCAGGACCATTTAAGAAGACTCTTCCTGAAGAGTAAAGAAAGAAAAAAGATTAAACAAGGCGAGGGGTGTGAAAGTAACTGGATTTTTTATTTTAACATTTGTATGGTAGTTTAGATACAAATGTAATACATACATATGGTAGTTCACATTCTCTTACCAGGAAATTTCATTGAGATTGGCTGTTCCCATCACTGGGCCATTGCTCCTGAGAGTTTTTTCTGGAGTTCTTACTCACCTCTTGAGTGAAGCCCTTCTAACCAGGGGGGCCAGGACTGAAAGAATTCTTGTCTATACTTTGCCCCTGCTTTATGCTTTCATGGCACTGTTGTGAAAAGGCATTCAGCAAATAATAGGCTAATTTGACAGTTAACCACATTATTTTATGGTACGTGTTTTATTTTTTTTCCTGTTTTGTGATTTTCGCCCTGGACTTAGTCTCATTCTGAAAAAGATGTTAAGGCATCCTGCTGAGACAAGTTAACTTGAAAGGGAAATGTGGATTAAATGGAAGGATAAGGAAGTCAGGAGTGGATGTGGTAAAGGATGGCACTGCTGCTGGAGAGTGCTAAGGTTCTGTGTCTGAGAGTGGACTTGGAGGGAATCCTAATGGACTTGGAGGGCATATATGATTGCAGTGGTGAGATAAACCTGGCAGTTGCTCTAGATCAGTGGTTCTCAAGCAGGGCAATGTCAGGATATGGTGGGGATGGGGTCCTACTGGCATCTAATTGGTAGAGGATAAGCCTGCTGCTATGCATCCAGTAGTGTAGAGGACAGCCCTCTTACCACTCCGCTGCCTACCCGCCCCCCCCCCCCCCCAAGCATTATCCAGCCCCATTTCAATAATGCCGGTGTCATGGAATGAGGGATTTGCCACTTTCCATGGTAAATCACAGGTACGTGAGATGCTCACATGAAAAGCATTTCAAGGTGTCTCACAACAAGGACTCACAAGTGGAAGTTTTAGCAAGGACTTATTTTAGTATAACAGGGTAAAGTAGGGAGAAGTGGGGGAAAAACATTTTCTGCTCCTCATGCAGGATATGGGAGTAAAGACTCAAAATAATGGTTTTTATTTATGGTTTTTATACTTTCTGAGCTGGAAGAATACACATGATCATGTCATCTAGCAACCCCTAATAATTTAACAGTGGATCT